TCTTCAAATTGAAGATTGTAAGAGGATTCCTGAGAAAGTGAAGATTAAGTATGTTCTGCAAGAATGAAGGACGTTAGATGCAAGGGAAATCTAAGTGAAAACTCTGAGAAACTAGTGAAGAGCGGCCAATTTCGGGGACTGCAAGTTAACGATGGCCAGGCCGAGCCGGCGGGCGGCCGTCCGCCCTTCTCGATGTAATTACGGGCAAATGGCGCGGCAGACAAATTACGGAATTGATCGATTGTGATGTGTAATTAAGGCTGTTTAGCAGATGCAATTAGGCCGGTTTAGTGATCAAGGGGAAGAGAGAGGGGGGGGGGTCCAATTATCACATCTGAGATCGAATCCTCAAAGAGTAGTTACCGCACAATGTATGCAATGCCGACACTTTGTTACTGGCATATAAATAGGGTTAACGAAAAAGTGTGATGGTGTTAGGAAAGATCTTTATCAAAATCTGGCAATATCGGGGTCGCTCTGGGTGGCATCACTTGAGAAAGTGGGCCGTGTACGGGAGCGAGCTTCACTTCACCGTTACGTAGACGACAAGGCTCCGCCCACTGTGGACGTTCTTCTCCCTGCTTGACTCAGCGTGTGAGCTGAAAGCAGTTGATTAATGTGGGGATTGTCCTTCCTGGGATTTCCCCCTGCAGCAGCGTGTTGAACAACGCTAATACACCGGGGCTATTTTGCTATGGATTTATGACGTTATAGGTAGGATAGAGCTCCCAAGCAAGTGGATTCGATAAAGTGGTCAAGCTCATAGCCGTAACAACTGGTCAGCTAATGAAATGAACTGTTGAGGGCTTCTAAGAGCTCGTTTTCTGTGGTTTTTACACTCTCAGTAGGGAAAGATAGAGTTTGATTTGAAGAAAGGACCCCACAGCCGCTTGCTCAATGCTATTTTTTGTTATTTACAGCTTTACTAACTTTAACTTTAAACGAAATCCAACCCCCCCCCCCCATTGTCACCATTAAATCTTTTTTCACCTATACCATGAGACCAAACGATCTTATACGTTTGATTCCGTTTGGATGACTTTTCTGCACAGCAGCTGTTTGAACTTGCGCAAAGGTTAAAACCTTGAACTATACGTCGGGTACAGTTCCGATAGCGGTCTGCAAATGTTGCACATCTTAACAGACCCAATCTACGCCATGCTCTTGATCATTAGCAGTAATTTTGCTTTACTAACCAAGTATCGATCGAATCCACCCTCTTCCGACTTCTCTTCGATGCGCGGAGAGAAGAGTGGCCGTAATTTGTCGTGATGAGTTGCTCCTCAGAAATTGCTTCGTGGAATTGATTTCCTTTTTCTCGGTAAGCCATGCACTGGGAACGTATTGAATGTTTCTATATTTACAACATTCACATAGAACATCGAGGACTTATCACGGGTTATCTTACAATTGAAAGCTCTTACAATGAAAAAAGGGCTATTCCAACTACCACCATGAAGGCAGCTGACGTCTTCGTCCCTTGGATTAGATACTCAGACGCTGCGACGTTTTCAAGAGAAAGGTGTAAGAATAGAGGGCCTCAGATTCTGGACCACTCCCTCTTCCTAGTTCAAATATGTGTTATGCCGAAAGTATAGAATGGGTTCACAGTTGCTCTAACTCTTACTGCAACAAAGAGTAATGTCTATCCAGTCGGTTCCACCGTTCCCAGTAAATGAAGGGCATTTATCGAGGACCAGAGATTTTCTCTACAAATGCCGCCAATGATGAATTTTTCTTCTGAACAAGGACAGATTTCTCCTTAAAATGACGTAAGATGTTTGAGAAGCGGAAGAAGGAGAATTCTCATCACTAAAACTCAATCGGAAGGTGTTGAGCTACAGCAAATTCTTGTGAGAGACGAATTGTAGCCGGCGACAGAGGACATCTCGCCCTCCCTGGCAGATTTGCAACTAATTAAGGTCACTCCAACATGTTCCAAATTGGGAAAGGCCGATTGACATTAATTGAATTAGTCCGAGATGTGCGTTAGCCTACCACGAACCATATATGATGTCGTTCAAGTGCCCTTCATGGAGAATCCTGAAAAAAGTGCCCCGTGCATCTAGAAACACTCCTGGTCCTGGGAATGCGCCATTGATTCGGGTTCGATCAAAAGGGCTCAACAAGATACATGGACGGGGATCAGAAAGAGATTCTCATAAGGGTTTCCTTGTCAAGAGTCGAAGCAAATAGGATGCTCGGATAGATGGAATAGCATAGACATTTCACACTGAAAGGCCCAAGCCTCGCCCATTGATCATCGTTTAGCCGATTGCCAACTTACTTTCTGGTTGCTTCCGATAAGGAGACGTATTGGGAACGCTTGACTCAATCGGACCGCTTACAGCTTCAGTTCTACGACGTGTAGATTGTCATTTTTTTCAAAAAAAAANAAAAAAAAATAAATATATTTTGTTTGTAGGTAAAACTTTTTGAGGAGTGTTGGTGTATAGTAACATGGACAAATACATAAGCGTAAAAGACTGTGAGGAACACATGTTCATTGTTGGAGAGTATTGCAATCTAGAAGCTCGGCAGCCGCTGACAGATACAATAGCTTCGATCGAGATCAAATGCGTATTAATTGACTGATTTTGGCATGCCAGCGTCCATTTCGTTCGTTAACCACGGGAAGGATGATTGAACGTTTTTTTGTCTTCTCGATGCCCTCTTACAATTAGATGGACATCTCTTCTCAGGAATGCTACAATGGAGATCGAGGTTAAAACCGAACGTGCCAGAGTTTGGCACAGCACCACTGATTGTATTTCAGTGTTAACTTGCAATTTTAGAGGCAGAAATTGGTTCAAAGCTTAGATCTTCATTTTTCTGTGACAAAATTACAATTTCTTTTTGTTGTTCTGTTTTCCATGGAATATATAAACCGATAAACATTCAGGTTGTGCGGCAAGTATAACGTTACTTCAGCTCAGATTTCTTCCGGAACCTTACATAGAATAACTCTGTGTACATAATGATATACCAGAAGATTTTATGATACCTCAATTGAGGTTTGCCATCGACCCTTGGTTGTTTCAGCCTGTGAAGCGTTGGAACAAGGTGTACCCGGAACAGTTTAGAAGGGAGCTTAAGGCCAAATATTTGGCACAAGACTCGATGGTGTTCGACGGCGGAGTGGGGGCAGAGAGGAGGATCCGAGCTCGAAAATAATAATGTGGATAGATAGTTCGATCATTATATGGATAACTAAGCATGGAAAAGATGGCCTGTTATGTTATGCGTATGAAAGTAAGTGGTCTCTTTACATGGGAACCCCATGGAAGCTCATAGAAAACCCCAGGAAAGAACTTAACTGATGCGAAGTTTTCGACAGTTACTTTTCGCACAACCTAGTTCTACCGACTTCTATTCGCAAAGATTCCTTCCCTTCTACTTCTCCTTCTTCCTTTTTACAAGCTTATGCGTCTCACGAAGAAACTGAAATTAGCGACGCATCTCGGAAGAAGTTTTACGGCCCATTCTTTCAGAATTTAGTATTCTGACCAAAAAAATGGCGTCCAAACTGAGTAGGTGCTTAAGTCGGTTTTTTGCCCTTTTAAAATATTCTGGGTTCGAGTACTTTCACAGAAGGCCCTGAGAACCAACCAAGATCTAGTCAAGCGAGCTATATCGACGAATAGCGATTTGGATCCCATAATCTGATACCTGCACTACCGTCGCTATTGCATGCCAGCCTTTCACAACACTCTTGGGAAGACTATTTCGTAGTAAAATCCAGCTACTGTTTACACACCCGATATACGACCGTTTACTTGTTCATTATGTTATTTGGTTGTAGCTAAAAAAGCGATGTTAGCTACGCAATGATCTCAGCTTGAAATGAATCTATCGCACCTACAAATTCACTTAGAAAAGTCCTCTCAACTGAGCTAGAAGTTTCCTATAGAGTAGACAAAAATGGAAGTTTTATAACTCCGACCTTCACAGGATTACGACCTTGCTCAGCCACTGCATGCGGTATGACTGCATCAACATAGAGTATGTCCTGTGATTTCTGCGATAACCGGCCAGACGCTACACCCAATCAAGTAGATCGGATTCTCCCACACGTCCAGCCTGCCGGCGCTCGCAGCATCCGATTACGCACAGTCGTGTGCTGCGAAGGGGAGCACTTGAATTTCCGGTGGAAGATTGAGGTAATAGTCCCGAAAGCATTCAGCTAAGCATGGGAGCAATAAATGAACTGATTCTGTTGCTGCCATATTTATGCAATTTTCTTTAACATCACAATCGATCTCGGGCGTGAATAAGAGATCGTGAACAGGCTAATTTTAAAATTGAAATAAAAATTACAAAGTCAATGCATGTAAAAGTATGTGAGAAAGTAAAACCTATCACGATGAGATGGTGAGACGGCAGTTAAGTTACGAGGAAAGATCAAAATTTGGTACTCCCAAGTATGTGAAATGCCCACAGATCTCAACTCATCATACCGATCATACAGCTAACACTTACTGGATTTTTGCCCGCAAAACACTCCTGCTCGAAATAAACTTACTGCGACACAGTTCACGAGCAAGGTTAACGTTCGCAACTAATCTAGTACCCAGTATCGTTAAAATCATAAAAAAAGAAGTTACAAAATAAAAATAGAGGTACGATTCAAAAGTAGAAGTTTCGAACAATTAATGTAAGTGAAGGATCTCTTATATTACAGAAAAGAAAATTCAGCTCATGGCCGAATTTGCACCGAAAGATTATTCTGCGGATAAATGCAATTCATTGGGCAGCATGCGACTCATTAGTGACATCAGAAAACGGGGCGTCACCAGCTTCTTTGAGATCGGCTTTGTCTTCCTTGGCTAACGAGCCATTCTCTGTAACGTTCTCTGTGGCCGAAGTGTTTCCTGACGTCTCTGCCGGAACTTCGGCCATTTCCACATCGTCTGAAAAGGAGGAAACGTTAAACATATAAAAATCAAGTCGAAAACAAGTCAATAAGCTCAATAAGCTATACAGCGTATAGGAAAATCGGTCTAAACTTCCTAACCGTCTTTCGCGTCAGCTACGTGACCGTCCACGTCCTCAGTCTGCGCCTCTTCATTTTCTACGTCTTGCTCTTCATCGTTCTGGACGCTCTCTTCTAGATCCTCTTCTCCGCCGTTAACTTCGATTTCCTCCTGAAAAATAACATTTGAAAACCATTTACAGCCCAAGTACAACGAAGAAATATAAATGCCTTTGACACACTCAATAACACTCAATACTCACTAAATTCTAGCAAACTCAATAGATTAAAGCACAAGCCACTGACCTCGTCTTCTATCCTCTCTTCGTCTTCCACAGGATCCTCGACTGGGATGAGGTCTGCTTCATCAAATTCTTCCTGATCGGGCTCTGGAGGGTACTCGTCGGGTTGATTCTCATCCCACTTTATTGGGAACGATGTTACGCGAAGATCGTCAGTTTTAACCGTACGTGTAAGCTGAAACAACTCTTCCTTAGTGGGAGAACTAAACCCTCGTTGGCGCGATATAAACCAAGCACAACGACAAAAAAGTCACATGAGAAAAGCAAACAAATTGAATTANAGACGCAAACATCACAACCACAGTAAGCTATAGCTAGAAGTTATCCCTCACTTTCTCGATCAACGGTTTTGCCGGAGGATTTTCCTTCAGCTCAGGATCTTCGTAATCGTTGGAAACGAACCAACCCAAGTTGATGAACTCCTGTAGTATTTCACATAACAAAGAGATGTTATTTCAAAAACCTAGTTTATGTACTAACCTGTCCATTGTACTTGCATCGCAGCAAAAGAACTGTAACACCGACGAGGTCCTGCACAGGGATTTTCGATGGATCCGGAGCGTCCACCTTAAAATTTCAAAAATTATATGTAAACGATTAACTGATGGTGTTTCACTTACAGCGAAGACAAATTTATGCCTGCCTTCTGGGACTGGACCAACAAGGGCAGAATCGAGCACTTGATCATAGGAACTAGACTTTGCCGAGCCAACGTAAACGAGTTCCCATTCGAGATCTAAAAAGGCAACAGTTCGAGCAATCCTCACTAGATATAAAGCGCTCGTATGGCAAATAAAGCGATAACCTAGCCGCCACTGCAGCACGCTTAGAAATGAGCGCATGCCAACCACCACAAAAAGGTGTTTCTTGGACGAGTTCAGTGCTATGACAAGAGCAATTGGTGCGAGCTCTTCGAATACGCTAGTATTTCGCACTTTCATAATCTGTAAATTTACGTGAACACTAGCTCCCCGACATCATTCACACACTTGCATTTTTTCCAAATTACACTCCCAACGCGAATGCATCCCATTGTGATGAGATCCTACCTTCGAGTTCGTAGTTTCTTTTGAACGGCGAGCGAACCTAGCAGATTCTAAAAATAATGCTTACAAGCCTTATTGCGCTTACCATGAGGTAGATATTCGAAAACTTCGAATGTGATTTCAAGTTTAAACTGAGCAGTGAACGTGGAAGGATTGTCCAAAATATTCACAGAGCAAATGTTGACACGCGAAGCCATCAGTCTGCAATACTTCAAGTGAAAAACGAAGTATCTGATTTCAAATTGCCAACAATAACGAACGTTAGAATGTCCAAAACGGACATACACTAAAGCTAAGAGCCTTATTTGACTGTATAGAAAGGGATGACCTTCTCACCTCATTGGTACACAGAAAAAAAAACACAAACACAAACAATATGCATAGTAAATGCAAAATGTTAGTCATTAACAATGAAATCGGAACTAAGAAGATGTTGGAAGCGTCACACATCAGCACACATCCAAGGTTAAACAAGCGGAACAAAGACATCACTCCTGCACTTAATCCCTTTTTGTTGACTATGTTCATTTTACTCCACAACTTTCGATGACTCCTCATTTATCCTTTGTTGTTTAATAAATTTATTAGGCGACACCATTTTTAAAATGGTACGAGTTTTGTTCTCATGTTTTTGGGAGTTGTTGATACTGACCTGGCTGTTCGGGTGCTTCATCGGATAAGCTACAGATCAGGGCTTCGAATGGATTTCATGACGACGATTTGTTCAAACAAGAAACCTGTGAGGCAAAGCGCCTCCAAGTGAAGAACCGATAGACAAGTTCAGAAAACCCTCTAGCTTCCATAAAATCGAACAGTGGGCCGTAGAAATGCTCTTAAAAAACCCGCGCTCTACGTCAAAAATCTAGAAATAACAACCCAAGAGAGCCTCAAAAAGTCCTCAATTAGTCACACACAAAGCGCTAGCTTAAAACTGATACTCAAATACGTTGCGATGTGAAGCAGTTCCCCGCCTTCAGATGATATTCCCAAAAATCAAAAAATCAATATTGAAGTCACACCCGCACAAGACCTACCGGAAAAAAGTTGTATACTACTCCGTACAAGACCAGTTTCGGGGATTACACTTTCTAAAATTAGATTTCCATAAAGAAAACCACTGATATTATTCATGAAATAGAAGTCATCAGAGGTGGAGGCTATGGAACATTCGAGCCCGGTTTTATAGCTGCTAATGCACTAAAAGTACGTAGAACAGAGGCTAAGGGGAACACACTAGGCTAGCAAGCTGTTCTTGGGTATTTAGAATTACAGAACTACCAACTCATTCGGTCTGTTTTACAGAGGTTGCAACAACAATACAGCGAAAACAACGTTAGCCCCAAAGAAGGCACAACAACAGAACAGCAGGCTGGATAAAACGGAAGTTTAAATAAGGGGTGGGATCCCGCGTTTTTGAACTGTTTGTTGAACTCGTCCAGTTCCTTCGCGTTGAGGCGTGTAGCTTGGGATGACGGGGGTGTATGTCGTTTGGCGCGATGGGCGGGGTCGCGCCGCCCATTTGAGGCGGCGCGACTCCGCCCATCGCCCCTTCAACTCATTCAGTTCGCGTAATCTTCCGCTATCCTAGATGATAGAAGCCCAATCCAACATCTATAGAGGAGAGGAGAGCAGAAGATTACGCGATCTGAATGTGCTGAAGGGGCGATGGGCGGAGTCGCGCCTCCTTAAATGGGCGGCGCGACCCCGCCCATCGCGCCGAACGACCGGCTCCCGGATGACGGCGGTTTACACGTCGCACACAACACAGTGGACGAGATTGCTTTTCTTATTTTTAAAGGCCTCTTGTACGGTAAGTTTTAGTCATCCCGAACCTTTAAGGAGGGAGTTCGCTTCTCATTTTTAAGTGGTGACGGTTGTTCATCCTCCACTGTCGTGTATGTTTCCCGTTTTTTTTTTGTTTTAAGCATTCAGGTAATCGTCACTTATGATGGCAATTATCACGGTAAGAAAAGTCGTTTGTCTGGCCCCTCGCTGCATTTATTTATGAAGGATATTGTCTCGATTTTGAAGTCTTGGCAGAAATCTGAAAATACAACTTGCACTTTTGCTTGTTGCTTCTGCCTGATTTTTCTCCCTGGCCGAGGCAATGAATTCATTCTATATGAAATTTGGGTAAGGAGGTATTACCCGATCTAGCAATGGCAAAGAAACGGTTCTATATTGAAATTTGGAACTTGTACCCTATCAATTAAAGAGAAGCTCTTAAAAAGACACACTGCTCCCCCAGTTAGAAGCCCATCTGCTATGGTCCCCGAATAAAATTTCTGGAAGCAGAAGTGGCCGGCATGGCGCAAAGGATCTTTAATCCTTCCCGGTAAACTGGTCGCTTCCTATGCTTTCCGGTTCTTTATTTGGAGCCGCTGTTCGTATTGACTCTGTAGAACATCTTCATTTCCATGCGGTAAGGTACAAGTGGCGATATACTGGCGCGTTGGTCACAGTAACCGTCAGAACTGTAGAAGAGTCGCAACGAGGGTGCTCTCGTAGTTTGGTCGGCCGACGTCAAAGTGGGGTTAGCTCTCTTCTTCAACACTGTGGATAGAAAAGAGGGAGCCGTCTTTGAAAGTCCGTGATGCTTTCTAAGCAGATAGTGCCCATTGTTATACCTTTGACAAAAAATGCATCACTGGTCACCGCTCTTTTTCAACCTTAAGAAATAAAGCGCACAGAAAGGAGTGGCATTTTCGTGAGTCCATAGTAGTGTTAAGAGCGTTTCTTAACCGAAAATTTTATTTCTAGGCCTTAGGAGGAAAGTCGCCTTGAATCTTCAATTCCCATCTCACCCCAGCTCTTTGCACGAGGTAATCGTCACGCCCACCGCGGTGCTTCTCCCTGCCAAGGCTTAGTGAGAAACTAACCATAGCCTCCTCGCTGGTTTCCAAGTACCATTACAGTTTTTCAGAGCCAAGTGTATTCTTTCTGTGCGCTTTAGGGCGTAGTGTTGAACAAGGGATTACTCCCCCCTCCCCCTCATCCTCCTCTCCCCGGTTACCTCTCCCCACTCCCCTCCCGCGCCAACTACATTTTCACTGGCAATCGAATTGCTGCTGTTGATGTTCTGATTTGGTTTTTCCCTTTTTTCTTCGTTCCGTGTGTGTCTTTTGCATGATAACAAGATACATTCTTCAGAATGGGTGACGAGAAGGCAGTCAAGGTGGAGCCGATCAAGTCCGGTCCTAGGACTGACCAGGAATTGATGGCGCATATGGCAGCTCAGGTATGTTGTTCGCAAGGAATTTTGACTTTGATTACGTGCGTAGAGGATTTTCCTATACTGAATGCTTTATCAGAACTGTGCTTTTTCGTTTTATCTTCTGTGTAATGTAGCCTTTGCTTCATCTATCTTCTTCGATCGTATCGACTTTCGTGACACCTTTATCATTATTACAATTGGAGCCCTAAAGCGGAGATGGTGGTTTTATTATTAAACACAAAGACTTTAGGCCTTATTACAGTTGAAAATGATAGATAAGGGTAAGCCTGTGTTCTTCAGTCAGTATGCGTTTACTGTTTTGCACGAAAAAAGCGCAGTCTGGATGTCCACCCCCCTCCCCCCTTCCCCCTCTCCCCTCCCTTCTCCCAAAGTGCCCAAATTGTTTTCAATAAATGAAGCTTTTTTGATTCCCCCTCTACGACAAATGCTCGTTATAGGATTGATCTAGCTGCGCATGTCTCCGAGGAAGCTTTCAGGGTTAGCCTTGTTCTAGCCAGTGTTTTCTGCACATACCCCTCTGGGTTACGATATGTTTATTACGATAATTCTCGTGAAAAGAATGATCATGGCAATCGAACGGACGAATTAAAAAATTACAACGTTTAGGTTGGAGATGGCAGGCTGTTCAAGATGGATGTTGACTACACCAGTCAGGTCGACGAAGCTATTCCGAAGGCAAACGCCATTGCTGCTGTAAGCCCTGAAAAAGTTCACTGTCAGCTTCTGTAAGAAAATGAAAAAATGGCTTTGTTTCCAGAAAGGAGATGTTGCTGCGGCATTGGACTCGTTGGCCAATCTTGAGAAACTTTCGCGACTCGGTTCAGATATGAAAAGCAACACAAGGATTGTTCAGCATATGGTGTGGTTTTATTCCCTTTCGATGATTCGAAGCAGGCTTCTCCTAAGGTGTCTCTTTCATTTCAGGTAAAACTATGCTTTGACGGCAAGAAGTGGGACCTTTTGAACGATACAATACTTACCCTATCAAAGAAGCGATTGATTATCAAAGTGGCTATTGCTAAAATGGTAAGACGAAAGACCATATCGTTCGTTTGTTTGTTCTCTGGAAATGTGCAGGTTTTTTCTGTATGCCGCGCTGCTACACATAGCGAAAGGGCTCTTTTTTAAAAGGGCCTTTCTGCTAAGTGTAAATCTTGAGAAGGTATAGCAGTGTGATATGAGAAAACTGAACTTTCATTCATTGCTGTAATTACGGAATACAGGGAGGTAGGAAGCTTCATCTTAGATATGTTGTCGACTAATATTTGAAAAACTCTGGTTTGTATAAATTAAGAGCGGGTTCAATGTGCATGTATTTAAAACATCATTTTCATAACGAGATTTCTAGGTTCGCGATGCTTGCGAAATGGTGGAGAAGATGCCAAATGAAGAGACAAAGATGAAACTCGTCGATACACTGCGCACTGTTACAGCTGGAAAGGCGAGTCTTTTCCTTTATGACTGTCATTCTATAATGTTTCTTTCAAGTTTCATCCTTGTGCGTTGTGTTACAATGTTTAAATTTACTCTTACTCAATCTTTATCTACATGAAGCTTTACTAAGCCGTTTTGTAATTGCAGATATATGTCGAAGTTGAAAGGGCTCGCCTGACCTCTCTTGTAGTGAAAAAGATGGAAGCGGAAGGTAAGATCGAGGAAGCCGCCAATCTCATTTTAGAGTTGCAAGTTGAAACTTATGGATCAATGGAGATTAAAGAGAAGGTTAGCTTGGTCCGATCGAATTAACTAAACGTTAGTGTTAAGTGTTAGTAGTGTATTTAGGTGGAATTCCTCTTGGAGCAGATGCGGTTATCTGTTGCCCGTGCCGATTACATCAGAGCTGGGATTATTTCTAACAAAATTAGCACGAAATTCTTCAACAGCGACAAAGAGGAAGTGGGTTATCACGAAACGCTGTCTATGCGAATAACTCAGCAAACCGCTATATGTATGTATTAAAACACTTAATTTTAAGGTCCAAGATCTGAAGATTCGCTTCTACAACTTGATGATCACCATTGGCCTTCAGGACTCGAAGTATCTGGATGTCTGTAGACATTATAGGTAATTCCTCCAACTTCACCTCACTAGTGCTGCCGATTTTTCGTATCATTTTTTGTTGAGCAGAGTTCTGATGAGTTGTTGGAGGTTCACTTGTGCATCTTGAACTTGATATTGTTTCAGAGCTCTTTTCGATACGCCCAAGATTGCAGCTGATACTGAGAAGTCACGACTAGTAGGTTTTACGATCACAGTTTTCATTTATTATCTAATGTGTTACTATTCATTATTGCATATTAGTTTAGTTACTTTCTGTTTTTATAGAAGCTAGTAATGTACTCTATACATTGCAGCCTTTTTTCGGTGTTTGTAGGTCTTGAAATGTGCTGTAATTTACTGCCTATTAGCTCCCCATACGAATGAGCAATGGGATCTCCTCAATCGCATCTCTTTATTAAGAGAATTGGAACTAGTTCCCGAGTACAGGGTGAGTCTGATTTCTGCAGCAGCTAGACTAGCAGCTCACATTTAAATGGCGTACTTATTTCAGTACATAAGTTCTTTTCAATGGCATAACTTTAAGCGATTGATCAGATATTGAAGGAGTTCGGCGTCATAAAGTAATTTCTGTTCAGACACTGCTCGAGTTGTTTATCAACCAGGAATTGATCTCTTGGAAGAATGTAATTGTACGTGTTTACGAGAAGACGCTGAAGAAAGCACCAAATGGAACAGGGGTGAGTTTTCAGAGGAATTTTCTTTTGCTTTACCAGACCGTCTGTGAGAAGAATTGAAGTCGTGTTTTACGCAGACCATGCTAAGCCTTGCCTTGCTGCAGAACTTCGTTGTTATGCTGATGCTCAGGGCAACACTCTCTCGTTAACATTTATGTTGGATCAGATTAGGTTCCAATTGCTTCGGTTCATATAAGATATTTTTAGATTTTCGATGGAAAGGATGGGGAGAAGCGATGGAAGGATTTGCACATGCGAGTTGGGGAACATGTAAGTCTTTTCTTGAGTTGTTCGACATTAGATGGGAGACCTTAGCACTTATCATGATTCGCCTATGATTGCCTATGAAATCAATTTGAAATGTGTATCTGTTTACGCCCAACTCAGTAAGGCGACTCTTTCTACAGTTCACTTTAAAAATTTTTACAGAATATGCGAATGATCTCAAAATACTACACCCAGATCACATTTGACCGATTGGCAGAGCTGCTCGATTTTCCACTTAATGTACGCTTTATAAAGATTTACGTTTTGCCCGCTTTTCTTTTGTGGTACCTCAAATGTACGTTTTTGCTTTGATACCTATGGTGATTGTTTTTAGGATATGGAGTCATTCCTGTGCAATTTGATTGTAACCGGTGGAATCACAGACGCGAAAATTCATCGCCCGTCAAGGGTTGTGAATCTTCGGGCACGCAAAGCTAACCTGGAACAACTTGACCAGTGGGCAAGTAATGTTCAGAAGCTCACTGAAACCTTGAACAAAGTTGGTATTTCTGCTTAAGCTATTTTTATGCTAATTTTTTAAATTGATATTCATCTACCTGTGGTAGGATTGGCGAGACTTTCCTGTTTTTTCGCTGTGAAACATTTGTGATGGCCGATAGGAGGGGACGTACAGTCATAAGGAAGACATAAATGTTCCTGGGTGCAGGTGAACCAAGTATTTATTGCTTCGTGCCATCGTAAGAAAAAATTTTGTCAGAGTGCGTCATTGAACTTGACGGGGTCAGTTTACGAGAACGGTTTATAGCCGTTGATTTTGCATAGGCGTGACGCTATCCATCGGCCGATTCTATTTTAGGCCAAAATTCCGAGGAAGAGATAGTATCAGTGGTATCATAGTAATGAGGGTTGAAAGTTCAAAAAAGAAAAAAGAATCGGCTGTTGCGAGTAGTCAAAGGGTAGGGGATGGCGCGAAGAGGATTCTCCAACACGTTTCTATTGCTGAAATAGGAACGCACGATTACAATTTTGAAAGAAGCCCGAGTAAATTTGTCATTACTGATTATAATGTTGTTCTCTCAATCATAGCTGAAGTACTTTCTAAATGGCCAGAATTATGTATAGCTACCCTGTTGAGTTCTTAATTTATTCGGATTCAAACAAATTTGGAAGCATAACACAGACCCCTCCCTGGTTTGAACTGTAGCGTTTTTTCTATTCCTTCCAATTGTGGTGGTGTTCATACACAGAAAGAGGTTTCATTCGAATTTCATCATGTCGTTCCTTCTATCCTGGTGCATCAGTCAGTGGCTGGTTAATAAAGAGCGGTGCTCTTCCGTTTTATCTATTGATAGTAGCAGTCTTTGGGAGTTTATGGTCACATTTAATAGCTGACGCAATGCCTGAAGAGCTCACGAAATAGCTTTTCAGTTAATTGATTGCCACTTGAAAGAGGACAGCTATGAGCTTCTCTCCGTTTAGGTATCTCACTTAATTCTGAAGGAACAAATGGTGCATCGAAATTTGGAAGCGATGCAGATCAACTGAAGTCTCGAATAGCGCCACAACTGAATACGGTTTAACGATGAATTTTATCTAATTATTCGTTCATGTTATAAAAAAAGCCTTTTGGTAACTGTCTCGTTAAAGGCGCATGTAATTAAATAAATACTATAACTTATCGAGTTTTTTGTACGAGGAAGTGGTATGACTTCCAATACCATAACCTTGACGTAATCATTCAATCATTTGCCGCTGCTGGCTACAAGGTCTTATGTTATGTTATGTTCCATTGAAGTTACATCATCTTCAACCATGAAGATGTAGGTTCACTCACTAGTCGGCGAAACGTCACAAATTGAAATTAATGCGTTGGAAATCGAGCTCTGGTCTCTTAAGAGCTACTTTTTTTGAGAATGAAGTCTTTTTGTACAAGCTAGATTCTTTGATTCAACAGTCTTTGTTTGGCCTCGTGGATGGGCTTATTCGTTCGCATTAGTGCATTATTTACAAATGGACTCATGGGATTGTTTGACTAATTTTTTGAACCATTTTTTTTGCTACATAGAGCATTGGACCATAACCACCCGCCTGTGGGAGAGCAGAAGTTGTTCGGACGGGGCAATGTGCTATTGGCCTCTTGAAAGTTGAACCATTTTGCTCTGATGAAGATTTCTAAAATAATGCATGGATTCGATCATTTCTCCAAGAAGCCTCGAGCACTAGTACCTTTATTCAAAGTCATATGAGTTTCAAAAGCTTATAAAGCTTTAGGCATCTGCCCATAGTTTTTCTGTCACGCGACTGTTCTGTCAGTCACATGGTTGTAGTAATTATGCAGGAAAGAAAAGCCTGAGCGCGATCCGATCTGAAGGAAAACTAGAAAAGAAAAACTGACTGTAAAAAGTTGGATGGCAAAATACGGCGGACCGTGCTTTCGAGAATTTCGTGTATTCCATCCGTAGAACAGTAGAAGGAACTGTACCATGTCAATATATTTGTTGTTTAGAACTAATGTGAGATTGGGTGTATTTTACTCGATCTTATCTACACACTCACCTACCAGTAACCAGGGGAATAATAAATTCCTGATCATGACGGAACCTGGGCAATCTTTTTTGGGATGTTCCATAAAAAACGCATAAAATGCTTCATTTGATGATAAGATCGTGGTCGTAATGGGTTAAGGCAGGGCGGAGAGACGCCTCTCGCGTTTCCTCTTCTTCGGCAATGGCACAAATTGATATTAGTACGTTACTATTTCAGAAGATAGAAGGTCAGATAAATTTCTTGTCAGCAAATCGGTTTTTTTGTATTGCAGGACCAGAAAATGAATTTCAAACACGTAGCCGGATTATTTCCAACCATCTCAAGGTGAGAGAATGCACACAGCTTTTTGCAACTTTATTTGACCGATTTGTTCTTTTACTTTTTTCTGCTATGAAGGCTTTAATCATCTTCTTTCCTTCTATTAGGATTCGTATCCTCTCTATACACTCCCCACTTTTTTCTCTCAACCACCACTTCTACACAGTTTTTATACTTTTCCTCCATTACATATTCCCTAAAATTCTATGAGTCCATTCATGATGTTCCATTGACGCCTTCCTCCCCGGTCTTCCTTTCTCTCTTCGTTAGTATATTCCTCCTAATTTTGGCTGATAGAGTTGCCTTAAGAAGGACAAATAAGAACGACCTCATTCTTATTTGTTCTGCATCGAATTTTTTCTTGAAGAGCTCTATGGTTGTCCTTCTTATACAAAATGCTTCTGGCAACTTTTTAAAGTTTATCCTCACCTCTAGCTCCTACTTTGCAATCTTCTCATGTAACCTTCGGAACGTTTTCGTCGATTCCATCTACCCTTTAAGTACCTGACGCTTTAATGACTTATTGTAGCAGCTAGGAACTGGTCAAATACATAAGAAGCTGAATAGAAATCAAGCTAAAGCCTTGTACATAAAAACCCCAATTCTACTTACCCTTCTAGTAGTATTGGAAGAATTATTTAATTATATATACACTTTTTGCCGCAATCGTGAAAGTTAAACCAACTGCATAAATAATTATGAACCAAAATTGTTTCTTTTTTCACCACATTTCCGTTCATCTTTTACATCGATCCATAATCTATTTGATCTTGGCAACCATGTATGAAATTAAGGATCGCGACAACTGTATTGTACTTAAAATTGACACTCAAATGACGACTGTAAACGATTGTTCTCCGTTTGGTTTTCATTTCGAACTCGATAAGAAGAGATATAAAGAGCGAAAGAAAGAAATAAGGCGTCAAAGTAAGTTGTGCTTTACGTTGTTTCAGATTACAGGTTTCTGTAACTATGTTGTAGATCATTTACCGATCATTAGGGTCGCATTGATTTCGATGTAATTCGTAGTCAGACGTGCACTATTCAAGGTCTATTTTCCATCTCAAATATTTATTTCAGAAATAACTCAGTGGTTTTCATGGCTAGCCTATTATCATCACAAATTTGGAATTCGACATATATTCCTTGTATTATTACTAGTTGTTTTTGTTTTTATCGGTGGTGCTATTTTTTATCGACTCGAATCTCCTAATGAAATTGTTGTGAGTTATGCAGATAACTTAGTGAATTGCTCTCACCTGTCACATTCTGGAGATGGTTTGTGCCACATGTCGTGACAGCTGAAAACGCGGTAGCATAACTATTATTTTTAGAATCTCGAGGAGACAATCGTTCTGATGCAGGGCATCATTGCCGAAACGACCGTGGATGTCATTAATATCACATTATCATATAATGGCACGACGAGAGACGAAAAACTCGCTAAATTGTTGAAGGTGCGCTCCTTGGGTGTTGTTTTGGATGCTTAGTTATGCTTCATAACTACTTCATAATAACTTGCACATATTAGAGATGATTTTTTTGAAGCTTTCCTCATACTTAGCCGTAACGAACTTCAGCGCTCTTTGCCTGACTTATTCAAATTCCGAATTTGGAATGAACTCACCCAGCACAGTAATTGGTTGGTTAAGCGACACTGAAATTTTTTCGCAGCTCAAAGCCGCCAGTGGTACTAGATCCAGAGGAGGAGTATTTGATGAAGCCCATTCGCTTGACAAATTTAAAGCCTCTCTATCTTACTGTGTTGGGGAGAGATCGATTCTGACATTATGTTACTGTGATGCTTTCTTTTAAATCATATTAATTGCAAACTTTGATACAACAACCTCTCTATATAAATTCAGACATACTACAAAACAATGTTGGAAGCGGAAGACCGTTTTCGTGGCAGTGTCTGGCACAAAGCGGAAAATCTAGATCTTCATTTAATGTGGTACTACTCAAGCGCAACTTTTTACGCTATGACGCTGTTTACAACAATTGGTTACGGTAAGTGGGTGTCATACACAATCTGTTATCATCTGCCTCGTTGTGGTTATCCCCACAAGCTGCTTTCATAGTCCCGGGCCGGCCGGCGGATTATGAAAGCAGTCACAGCAGCCCTGCCAGAAATAACGATCCAGTCAAGAGATTCTAAATCAAGATTCCCTCTTTTCAGGCACTATTGTATGCCAAACCGTTTGGGGCCGTGTATTGTCGGTGGTTTATGCTTGTATGGGGATTCCTCTGATGCTAGTAGTGCTTGGCGACATTGGTGAATGGTTCCAAAAGGTTCTCACCAAGACCTATGTATATTTGCTGATCAGATGGAAGTTAGTTGAATTTTCGGCAATATAAAGCTTTTTGCGATTTTCAATTGATCGTTCACAAAGACGGCTGAAACACGGCGTAGATTCATGGATCAATAGATCAATAAGTTCATGGATTATTACGTATTCGCTCAAAAAATTCGACGTATCTTCGCTGTCCATTGTAGGCGATCCTTGAAGCTCGAGTAAATTGGATGTGCGGGATGGAATTAAATGGTAATGATTCGAACACTGATTAGTTCAGAACTTTTCGCAAGAAAACGCTTACTACACCGTTGGACGAGATTTTCCTACCAATGTGGATAGCACTTCCGCTTGTGTTAGTATACATTATCACTTGCACCATGATTATTCACTGGTTCGACCACAACGAGGGGAACAAGCCGGGTGAGCTTTTCGCATTAATCGCATTTTTCAAAATGTTTTCTCAATCCATATATTATTGATGTGGAGCTAGTACATATAATGGAAGGGAATATGAACGCCTGGGAAAGGATATTCGAATAAAGACCACAGTTGGAATAAAATTTCTGGCATTTGGCCATCATTCTAGAAGCACCATGCATTTCTAGTTGAACTCGCATCATTAAAGGTGTTAAGATTTGATCCTGAAGTGCGAGTTATTCAGCTTTCACTCACTTGTCTTTCTAAGTCATTCCTTGGAGATACGTAATGCTCGACGAACTTCTAATACTTATCACTCAATGAAGAAGCTATTTTAACTGGTTCACATCAACAATAGCCGGCTCTCAGCCTGCTGAGCATCTTTGTGAAAAAAGTAATGGAATACGTTGTCTGACAACAGACATTTTCTATAGTATCTATTTTTAGCCTAAATCAGACTGACATTTTACAGGTATCGACTTTCCTGATGCCTTTTACTTCACTTTTATTAGTTTAACAACGATAGGTCTTGGTGATGTGATGCCGTACAACATACAGGTAAGCTGCCAACGCTTTGTTTTGGATTGGCTGCTGATAACAGTGACCTCCCCCTTTCCTCTTTGGAACTGCACTCAAAATTTCTGGGCAAAACAGAAGTCATTGTCTGAGACCTGATCGACTGCTTTTTGTGATTGCATGTGACAAGTGCAGAGATTCCTATCACAAGAAAGAAATTCTTTTGTTTTTTCTGGTTTTTAGGTTTAATTCATGCTCACGTATATACAGAGTATAGATCGCTCTTCAGTACTCTCCATTTTTGGCGGCAGCGTTTCTGCTTGGTTTGGCATTGATCAGTATCGTAAACACGAGTATCTACGCTCAGCTTTATGATATGTTCTTCGATTTCGTTGAGCGAGTCGAGAAATATCTGGAAAGGATCCATATCGAGCATTTCCGTGGTCATGGGTACCTTGTTTTTCAGGTTTGTTTTTGGTTTACGAATTTTATTGCGCCTCAAATTTCTTTCTTCGTTACTCTTGCTCAGGAATGTCGATCGATACATCTTTTTCAACAATTTGTCAAAATTTTCACCATATACATCTAGTTTTTGAAAGCGCCTGCACCGCTGTTTTGAAAATTATACTGATAACATTGACAATATTAAAGGCGTTACGGTTCCAGAAAGTCCATGTTATGATTTTTCTGCCTTCTACCTTATGAGTTTTTACCAAACTCTTTAAGTTTGACATCGAGAAATAATGGATTTTGTTCTTTCTACGTTGTTCACACCAATTTAACTTTTCTCTTTGTATAAGAATAATTCCAGAATTGTTACTTGTCTAGGATATGGAGCCAGTATTTCGGATGCTTGTATGCTCGTTTCCTCATATCGACCGAGGTGTCAAAGATGAACTGTTGGGCTCTATACGGGCCAGCTTCCGTACGCCGAAAAAGCAGAAGAAAACTGTTCGGGTGGGTGTTACGGGGATTCTTCATATGGGCAAGTATCATAAAAGCACTGTTGCAGTGATAGTTAACAAAGCGAACAGTTAGCGATAGATGTTCCAAGCATTGAAGGTAAAAGACGCTGAGAAGGAGCACATCAGTTTTCTGGATACAGGACTATGCGCGCGACAGCGAACGGTGGAGAACAACAGAAGTTTAGTTGTGGCGGTCAGACGGTTGTAGAGCAGTGAGAAGTCGGCTGTCTTAACACGGTTGTAAGAGCTATGGATTAGATTTAACCTGAAACAATCCAATCTTCATTCCCACAGGACCGCTAAAGTGATACCTTCGCACCAGGTGCTGAGACATGTGTCTCAGTCATAAGCCATGTAAGTAATCAGATTCCAGTACGATTTTGAACATTCTTCGAAGGCAGCCATCAGTCTGATAAAGAATTTGCTAGTTGCTGGTTGTTCAGTGAGCGAGAACTGTGCGTGGATATTAGACGAGAGTGAGAGCCCATGAGGAAGAAGTCTGTTATGGTGAGTCTGGACGAAAATTTTCGCTAGGGTTAAAATAAAATGGCAGATAACTGGTATGGACGAAAAGTGCATTAAAATGAGCGCATAAACAAAAAAATTGAAAATATCACCAAGAGTTTGATCAGCCACATTACAACGGTTGACCTGCATTCTAAGCACTTCATGATTGCTGTTTTTCTAAGTTACTTTATGGCAAGCTACTTTGTGAGTGGAGCAGCAGTGAGCAAAGTAGCTAGCCATCGGACTAGATTGAATGCATGGACTTTTTATCCAATTGATCAGCATTACTTAGTAGACTGTTTAGATGAATATTCCTGAAGCTACGTCCACTCTTGCTCACATCCGCAAAAGGACCATCTCCGATGTTGCAGCGCATGGAGAGGAACTGCATGAAAAGCCAGTAGTTTCACGACGGCGAGCTCCAACACTTGGGGCCCTTGGTGGCCTGGATTTGGCAAAATTCAGGTGAAATCATAGCCAAGGCTGAGGCTTATGATGCTGGTTACTTTGTGCCCTCAAAGACATTCTTTAAGGAAAATGCGTGAGGATCGGCGAGCACGAGAGCGGACAGCAAACACTAGCACGGCGATGGCTGAGGTTGAGTCAGACTCAGATGCCACTGAATCGACCAGCGAGCCTGAAACGGAAATCGAAGAGTGTTCGCCTACTACGGGAAGCCGCATCTCATATCTAATATGACCGTGCAAAATAAATGATCTCATAATATTCAATCGACTGGTTAGTTAGATGCCATTATCAGCTGTATTTCATATACGACAGTTTTCAAAAGGTCAAATATGAAGTAGAGAAACAGTCCAAAAGGCGAAAGTTGATTTTGGAATCTGCATCTTGTTAAGGTTTCCTTTCATTCGATACAAGTGTTTCAATGCTTCAGTACAGTGGTGCTTGTAACAAGCAATATCTCGTCGCCATCATCCTTCCCACGTTCAGAGTGTCGCACTTTTTGATCAATTTTTCTTTGTTTCGGGGTTCTTGACGATTTCTCCTTTTCAGTCCCACCAGAAGTTCTGAATTGATTGGTAAAAGCTTCCATAGCTGTATTGCTTACCTCTGGGTCCATAATGTCCCTTATATTATTTACCTCGAAGAAAATGATTGGGGTGAGGACGGGCGTGATCGCATTCCGAGTGACGATGGTTTCTTTTTAGTCGCAACCGGGGCTCTGAATCGATCAAAATTGATTTTTGTGGTGGAATTGCTTGTCTGTAATAATCGTTTATGTACCGGAAAGAGTACAAGGGAGTTGGCGACTCAGCCGGTTGCTTACTTGCTTCTGGCGATGCTGGTTTAAGCGGCTGTTCTTCCTTTCCAACTATATCAGGACTGCTAAATGGATCGTTGTTGATTTTTATCGCAGTAGCACTTGCTCATGAACAGTAGTGAAAAAAGGAGCAAGGGAGGACGAGACGAGCGCGATCGCATCGCGTTTAGGCGCTTTGGGGAATCTATGGCTTGATAAGCTGCCTTCGAGTATACAGTGCATTTCTGTGTTGTGGGTCTTGTAACGACAGAATGCAATGAATGACCTTGAAAACAGCTGGTTCGCTAAATTCGACGGCCCACCTGACGTGAAGCGACTGCGTCGTCTGTTCCCTTTTATGCTTACCTTATTATCACTGCCTTCTGAGGAATCGCAGACATTGATTGTGGTCCGGGATCAGTACGCGAAACTGAGGGCTCCTTATGCTTCCCATTTTTGATATGCTTCATTAGCTCACCAGGCCAAAGTGGTACAGCGTCTTCTTGCACTGGAGGTGGGGCTAAATAATGGAGGCTTTTTTTGTCATTCGAATTTTAAGACATGTCATTGCTTTGCCGATGCCCGATGCATCATTGAGCGGATTCCCCTGCCTACCTTCTCTACGACAGGCTTATGCTGGGCAGCGATTCAACCCCACTAATCAAGTTTAGGATCGACTTTCTCTTGATTGCAACAACCTTAGATTATTCTGGGCTCGGTCATCTGATAGAGAATCTTCGGAAATGGAGTGTACTGATTTAACACGTTGACGACGAGAGCGTTTTTCGTTTGCGCACCCACGGGACGAGACCGTTTGAAGGCGCTGACAAATCGTCGGCTACCATTGGCGGACCTCGTCCCACGGGACAGACACCTATTGAAATTGCTGTATTCATGTGTAAAACAAGTAAAACCCCTGGGAATAAAAGAAAAACTTGTATTCTGTCAAGATTTGGGTGAATTCTCCGAAATCATGGGATTTGTAGACCATTTCGGTATATGAGGCTTTGAATCGTGAACATTCATAGAAATCACTATTTAAACGTTTGGCGGGAACAAGATTAGAGGTAAGAAGCCAATTGTTGGAAGGAGTTCAAATTTTAATTGTTATATGATATGATGTACTGCTCCTGACTCGATACTTAATATTTCCATAAAAACCTTAGATTTAGATGGATCACGGGTCGACGCTAAAGTTAGTGAGTAAATAAATAAATTTAAAATATGAAACAAGGAAACCTGAGAATTTCTTCATTTCGTTGACTTACAGTACTGTCGGTCACCATTGACCGACATTGTCGTCAACGTGTTAACTAAGCTTCAGTAGGCAAGCCTAAAAGTGTGAGTGATTTGAGTCCTGGCCTCCCACTTATGTATAAGAGCGCAGGCCAAATAAGCCCTACATTCAGACTGCCTTGGAACTTCCAATGGTAAAATACAGCAGTTCGGAGAAGAGATCGCTCAAGATCCAATTATCGAATGTTTCATTTCTTGACTAGTTTACAACAAGCTTACGGTACGTTTTTGGGCATCCAGTTTGCGGTCAAGTTGTGATCGTTTCTCCTCATACTTGATGTGATTACTCCGTCGTTGAGCTGCCGTATCGATTCCTACGTACCTTTGGAACTTGGACATTTGATCTGAAATCTATGTATTCTAAAGAATCAATGTTACTCAGTATCTCAGCGATTGACAGTATGCATCTATCTGTACACAGTCTTCGGGGCAGATTCCTTGAGGAACAACGAGGCCATCAACTTCCTTCCTGTGAAGTGGGACAAGTTTTATCGGAGGGGTTAGAAGTATAATACTTCCGCACAAATCGAGAGGTTCCCCTGAGCCATTGCGACAAACTGTTCACACTGCGGCTCAGGGGAACCTCTCGATTCACAATACGTTATCTTATTATGGCAAAGTTTCTACAGTACCAAGCCATAGTTGGATACATGGCGTATTCCAGAGTTCATCGAACACCCAATTTCGAATAAAACCGGTCCATCATGGAGTCACTTACGGGTTGCATGCTACATTATCTACGAGGGAAGGGTTCACCTAGAAAGACGTATGGCAACAAAAAAAAAACGAAAAAATAGTGATATTGGTACTACTGCTTGCAAAAAAATATTTGATCATAGAGCATGATACGGTGTAAAATGTACGAAATTAGAGGCTATTAGACTAATTCAGGCTCCATGTTTGCGGAAATGAGGCAAGGACTCGAAATGAGTGAAGGCTATTGTTTCGACGTTGCTAGGGAACTTCTACGAACCAACAGGACAAGGACAATTCAAGGTTCGAGAGAGTTTTTTATGTTTCAAGATTCGAATTCTCCATTAAAGTCAGCGAGTGGATGATTTGTCATGTAGGAACCACTGTATTTCCGAATCCCGATTCCGACACAGAGGAATACGGTCAGGGTGCAGCTCCTCTTCCCGTTTTCTCGTATTCATTCGTCTTACTGTTTACCATCTGGTCGTTCCCCTTTTATTTTGAGGTGCTCCATTCTGACTATTCCTATCTCTTATTTGCCTACGTTTCTCCACAGGATTGCCACCATTTGAATAGACGACCTCGCGCAGCTAACTTTTGGTCGTTCGGGGAGAGACCAAATTATGTGAACCGTGTATCGCCACCACGCAGTCCCCGATCTTTGGCGCATTATCTGTCCTTGCCATTTCTGGTAATGGATGGGTTAGATTGTGCTCTGGCTACAATGGCATGGTCTTTGCTACTTTTTATTCGAAAGGAAAAAAGAAAGCAGGAAATTAGAAAGCCATGTTTAAACGAGTGTTTACCAGCATCATGTCGTATTGTGCCTTGTCACAGTTCGAAATCCCAGCTGCCCTTGGATGCGTAGTTGGCTGAGATCGCGTCCTGTAGTGCTAGGTGTCGGTCAAGAGGGTGTTCTCTCCTCTACATCAGCTGGTGCCAGTCCAAAGTGTTCGAAGGGTGTGAAGTTGGCAAGGGCTTAAATTTCAGATTCGATCAATGGATCATGAGTTTTGTGCCACCGCCTACTTTCACGCGCCCATTAATGATGACTTGATCGTTGACCGGTGCAATGCAGTTGCGCCCAAATTGAGCCCAATGTTTGTCATCATTTTTCGGGGAACTATAAAAGACGATGGAGTTCACGTGTTGGTCGCTGATCGCTGCGCTATGTCTTCTAGGGCTCTGGACTTTTTAAACTTATAGTTTTTTATAGTTGGTTGGTGGTTGCTTGCGCCTGGACTTCTTTTAATAGATTCCTCAGTTCCTGCTAACGCTTTACAAAAATTACAAAGAAATTTTCTAGAAGCATATTATTCCGAGGGAAGGTGTAGTTGGACCAAAGAGCGAGCGTTGATCATCTTTACTCTGGTTCTACCGTGGGCCTACCCAGTAGACATGACCGCCATGGTTTCTTTTACTGGGTATGCCAACACGACAACTTCAATACTTGTATTCTTGGAAGCCCTCTGGAGCGGAAGAGTCAGTCACTGATCATCAGTCAGTTTCTCTCTACTCAAAATAACTCTTCCGTACCTCCACCAAGGAAGAAACTCTCTTCTTGGAGTAGTGGCGGAGGTCAGCTAATGCCTCCTGCGCTTTTTGAACTGTCACACGGAAGCCGAACAAGAACCATGTTGCCATATAGAATACAGCACAAGTGGCTGACCTTGCTCACAACAGTAGGGGATCATACTTGCCGCTGCCGTCCACCCTCCGTTTCACGTGGCAGCGTCGTTATATTCCTACCGTTCACTATTTACTTCCGCTTCATTTCTGCTTCAAACGTAATATTGTTTTCCTATGAGTGAGCAAAATGCAACATTGATAGGACTTTTCAGAATGCACACTACTCCCAGGTGGTGTACCGAATGCCTATTTATCCTATCGAATAACTGCAATGGCCAGCCAGTGTACAAGCCAGTGTTTTTGTCCCCCAGAGGAGCTCCGAAGGGATGGCTGGGTTGGATGGTTTGGGATTAGGTATCCATCAAGGAAGAGTCAATCGAATAGGATTCCAAGAAAAACGAGGAGTGGGAGCAAACCGAATCCCTACACCACACCATTAAATTGGGTGGAGAAGATTCCGCTGTGACGGTTCTCTAAATTGGACGAATCAATCGAATGGGAAGAAGAAGCAAGTCCAAATATTGAGCCATCCGGTCGGTTTGAGGAATTCCCGGCAGGATTTCTGGCTGCTCGTCTTAGACTTTTATCAAAGTATATTGGGATAATTGATGAATACCTACCGCTCTGTAAAATTAGTGACTGGATCGCGCCATGCATTTAGATGACGTCACGAATTATTGTTGTTCGCCACTATCACGTGTATGAATGTAGGAAACGACGAGCCCTTAGAAATCAAGATTTCATGCTTCTGTACTCTTAGGTCGGGCCCCAGAACTGAGGTGGAATACTTCGTATTACCTTCCTTCAATAGATTTACAGAATGAAGCTTTGTAAAAGGATATGGATACAGATTTATAACAGCTCTGAACTGAGTAGATTGCATGGCGCATACTATTAGGTGCGGAATGTCGACAAAAGTGCTTCAGTACTTTCGGACTTCATCAATCCATTTGATCATTCATCATTCTCTTCACTTTCTGTTCAAAATTTCACTTTTGACTTTGCCTATCTTCGCTCAGGTGTAACTGTATGTTCTTTTCGTTCGTCCCTCTACTTTTGTACAGATACCACCTTATATGCGCTTCGTTCATACTGGTGAATTTCAAATAAGTTTAGAATCAACGTTTCCGGCAACTTTTATCATTCCACTCCACTATGGTGTGTTATAAAAATGTGAGTGCTTACTTTATCATTCGCTTTTCTCAAGGCTGAGAGGAGATAGATCCAAATGAAAGTTGCTATTGAGGTAATAAATTTTCTGACGTTCCTTAGTTGTTGAACAGACCAAGTTGTGCTGTGGTTTTTAGTGAAAATACGTGAAAAATAGTAGCTTCCAAAGAGTTTTCCAATGGATGTGGGTGGTGTAGAGGAGGTGGAGGATGAACAGTTCGAGCTAGGTTTCCAGAAGAAAGTTTTGGGGTAGGTTCTCGTGAAGGAGTAATTATTAGTAGTAGGTATAACAATTAGATCTATACAACGATCTTGATCATCCATTCATCGTTGACCAAACCCACAGGTTTGGTGATATGGTCCGCACTTGAGAAGTACAGTCAACCTTGAGTAAGCGGAGAAGAGTCATCACAGCAGTAGAAGTATCGATATGGGCTTCAGTATTTATGAATCCCCTAAAAGGAGGTCAAAGTTATCTGAGTATAGCTTTTATGCTATCAACGACAGCATTAATAAACTCATTCATGTGAACAACATAGCCTGAGCTCTCTGTTACAACACTGAAAAATTTGCTAGTCGGTTGTAGGTGTACGTTTATACTTGACATTTAGCTTCTCGACGGCCAGAGAGCCTACTTCAAAACCGGCGCCACCAGATGTCTGAAAGCACGACGTGAGACCTTAGAAACAATGAAAAGAATGCTGCAGGAAAACCGTGAAGAAATCGAAAGGGCGATTCATAAAGATCTCGGAAGGGTCAGTTTCTAACGTTGGCGATGGAGCGATGCCTATATCTGCACTGTGGGTGCTCTTTGTAAAGTTCACCAGTTGCCCGGGACCAAGCAGCACAGTCGAAGTGGCTTTCTGGGATGCGGGATAAAAGGATGAGGCCTTCATCCGAGCATCGCCGATGAAATCTATTCCTTCATTTCCTTTTTTCGTGTATAACTTCAATCTCCTCGAATTTTCGGAAGTTCCAGTCACTGATTTGTAAGCTCTCCCTCTATTCCTAATGGGCGACAATTTTCATGTAATATTTTTACAGAAAATCGCAAGAAATCTGGCTTAAATTGTCATTTTGAGAAGAAATTTCGTTTATTACAGAAATTTATAGCACCAAAACACTTCAGGATCCATCATTTGAAGTCACCTGGGCTATGAAGGAACTTGACGAAAGTCTTGAACATCTCGAAGAATGGAATGCCCCTATAATAGTGTCAAAACCATCGTCACTTGATGAACACAACGATGAAGTGTTGTTGGTGAAGGAACCACTGGGAGTGGTGTTAGTAATCGGACCATGGAATTTCCCTTTGCTCACTTCGATGCCCGCAATGGCTGCTCTTACAGGAGGTAGGCAGTTTCTTTTGTAAGCATTGAACTTGAACTATTCATATCTGTAGATTCCTAGTATTTCATTACTTTCCGATGATCTGAGAGTGTCCGTTTATCCCTATAAGCGATTTTAGCGAGGAGATCTTATGGTTACCCATTGTATTATTTCTTCTACGCAGAACTCGTCAGTACTAAGCTAGATCTGCCGAATTAGACTGAGAAGAGTATATCGCTCAACCAAAACGGTTGTTGATTCTGTTTTATCTTTCCATTTCTTCAGGAAACACAGTGGTCTTGAAATTGTCCGAATACTCTTCAACGTTTTCCTCAGTCTACGCCAGTCTAATCAGCCAATACTTCGATAAGGTCTGTTTGAGGTTTTTTTTTCTTAGTATAGCTATCCCACATATGAGAGCAGCGATAGCACATTGGGGAGAGTATTGAGTCTATTTTAGTGGAGCGAAAACTTTCCATCGTTTTGGTGCCTTCAAATTAATTTTTAGTTCATAAAAAGGCCGGTGTAATCTCCCAAAGTGAAAGCTGTGAAATGCTTAAATCGCGGTAGAAACAATTGCTGTTATTTCTCATTGAGATGAATTCATGCGCATAGAGTTAGCTCATGAGTCGCTGACGAGTCGAACCAACTTGATAGGGCATAATAAGGGTTTAAAAATTCTCTCCGTTGAATGCCGCACCCAGAGGTGGCCGTGTTTCAACGGCTTTGTATAGGTTGCACTATTCACAGTGGGCCAGGTATGTTGGGAATTCGATCAGTTGATCATCCTGGGCCTTGACTCGTGGAAATGAGGGTAACAGTTTTTTGCTATTGTCTGTGTAATTGTAGACACCTCCTGACACAATTGAGCATAACCCGAATTTCGCTTAGTTTCCCCTTACACCGTTATAATCTCGCACAGCATCATACTTTAGCTACTTTTTAAAAGCTTTGAAGTTTTCAAATTTTTTCGAATTATTGCGCTTTATAGACCACCAATGAATATGTGGCCTGCACCATTACTCCCGTTGTTTACTCTGGAATGGGTACCGAAATATCGTGAATTGTGCCCTAGTTTTCTACATAGACGAGATGCTCAGTCTGATGCATGGCGTATCCTCAAGAATTTTGCTAATGCCTCTTAATGTATTCTCCCAAAAATACGCTGACCAATTTGTAATTTTGTGAGTAAATTTTTAGCGGGACCTCGCTTCCTTTTCAGCGAGTAGTTTCCCATCTATTCCATACCCTTTTCTCATCCTGATCATACTTCTCCTCTCAGCATCCCCTCTTTTTCATTTCCTCTCATGATTTTACAACTAGATATAGATCTACATTTTCTCTGTCTTTCTTTTTTATCGCGAAGCATATTTTTTTACAGTAATCCAAATAGGCGACTGATCAGATATTGTCTGAAACCTTTCAGAAACTTTTTGCCGCCGTTGAAGGAGCTATCCCAGAGGCAACAGCTTTGCTTGCCGAACGATTTGACCACATTATGTACACCGGAAATCCCACAGTGGCTAGAGTGATCATGGCAGCAGCAGCCAGGAATCTTACACCAGTGACGCTGGAGCTGGGGGGTAAGAAGTGAGTTTTAGCTTATCATCATAAAACCTAAGCTTTTATAGACAGAGGGATAGGCTGAGTAGAGCGAAGATGAGCGAGATGGAACCGCTTCTTTGAAAAGGGGGAGGTTTCCCAAGTTTGGCGAGTTATGGGCAAAACTTCGGCATCTGTAATATTTTCTTTTACACCATCAAGAAGGCGAGAGCTAGTGGGGCCTAGGTAGCTCATATGAAGAGCACTTTGTCTGGATAGCACAATTACGGGTTAAATTCCCATGCGAGGCCGAACTTTGCTCATAGCTCGCCAATCTGTGAGACTTTCCCGTCGTGTACTGCTGCGAAATAATAGTATAATAGTTAACAAAGGCATCGAATCGAAACAAGTGACGAAGTTCTTTGGATAGCACGGATCGGATCAGGTTAATGGGTTCCCAAGTCCAAAATGAATCGTTCACATTCGATCGAATTTGTTTCAGCCCAGTTGTGGTTGAGCCCGATGCCGACATCGAGGATGCGGCAAGGAAGATTATCGTCTCGAAGATGTTGAACTGTGGGCAAATCTGTGTGTCTTCGGATTACGTAAGGTTTTTGAACAGCATGTTGAATTAAAGACGGTTTGTAGGCGGTTCTGTCCAAGGTCCTTAAGTATTTGTGGGGGATTCCAGATAATCTGGACAGAATCACTTAGCGGATAACCTCGCCTACAAACCGTCCTTTATCTCTGCTTTGGTTTGCAAATTTTATACAAGATATCCACAATAGTGTAGTTAGATTGTCGTTTTTTCCTACTACTCCACTGATTCTTGTTTATTGCAGGTCCTCACCACGGCTGAGGTGAAACCGAAACTCGTCGCCGCTCTAACGAAGATCTTTGATGAAAAAGCCCCGTTCAAAGAAAACAAAGAGTTTTCTCGAATTATCAACGACAAACACTTCGAGTAAGTACTTGTAGAATTTCCTTCTGTCATGAATTTAAGATGAAGGCTAAAGCGTGCTCAACCCTTAAAACCACTCTAAACTGGCCCTACTCTTACAAAGAATTTTTTTGCGGAGTAGGTTATAAAGTCTGGTGTTTTTAGTCGATTGACGGACTTGCTGAAGACCACAAAAGGGCGGATCCTTTATCATTCTAAGGAGGAAGATAGCAGATCTGAAAAATTCTTGGCACCGTATGTGATCGAAGTCGAGAGTGACGATGTGTTCATGGATGGTGAGGTATGTGTATTTTATATTGGAACAGTTTATAGGTTTTGTCTAGTAACAATTAATTTCTACGAAATCTGCCGAAAATATTGCATTCGTCTTGATTTCTGATGGAATTTTTTGACGATTTTGCTGGGGTGGATTTTTACGTGAGTAGCCTAGAACAGAAGAATTTAAGATGAACCTTAATCTGGTCATCCGATTGAAATATCATGAAATCTCCTATTATGTTATACGGATACAAGAGAGTGGAGTTCTTTGGTGGCAGTACTTCAATGAAAGTTACCAAAAAATTTTTGAAAATGTGTATCACGGAATGTCTCATATTTTTCAGATTTTCGGACCCATCCTCCCAATATTGACAGTGAAATCATTTGACGAAGCCATTGAATGGGTCAGAGATCATGAAAAGCCACTTGGTGCCTACATCTTCACAAAAGACCCCGAAAAAGTAGGCTATACTGTTAATTCATTCAACCTTTCCGAAATTGACGTGATACTGGATTCTCTACAGGATGCTATCTCTTCAAGCTTTGAGTATGTGATGGTATTTGAGAATATGTAATTGCACTAGCTTATGAGCTGTAAACATTGATCAACAGACACTGGGATATACTGTAAATGAGTAAGAGACAGCTGATTATACTTCCAAAATAAGACGAACAACTCGTTCGTAGGGAAAACCATGTCCATACTTTTGTAAAATGAGGAAGGTTCCAATCACTGGCTCGGATCTTCTATCACGAAGAGTTTCATATTTCCATTTTCAGGCCAGGCGTTTCATTCTAGAAACATCCAGTGGTGGTGTGACAGTGAATGATGTAATGACACACTCATTTGGTACGTTTCTAGAAGAATAAGTAAGAATTATGTAAAGATTCCATCATCAGACTCATATCATAGAATAACTCCAGTAGTCGCTCATAATTTGCAATACTTCTTTCTTGTCTAAAATTGACCTATTATAACTGTAATTGCATTATACCGAAACGATCTCATTTAGTGGATACGTTACCATTCGGTGGTGTCGGTAACAGTGGTATCGGCCGAATAATGAAGAAATATGGATTCGATAACTTCATCCACGAAAAACCTCTTCTCATACGGAATGGCATTGGAAAACAAATTGTTGACAAATTGTGAATCCATTTATTTCCACTTATTTTTGAAGCATAACATTGAGTAGAATAAAGATTGATACCGAAAATTCAACTAATTTGTTTAAACTTTGGTTTTAATCCTCTGTCTATTGAGTCACAGGTGTTTTTTTAGGGATTTCACGATTCTCCTCAGACATCCTTCTTTTCCTTTCCGTCTACATAAGTTCCATATACAGAAATAGCACATACATACTACGGCTGACTGAACTTGAATTTTTCAATTTTGTCCAGGCAATGGAGTCCATGAAAGACCATTTCCCCTTACTGGCGAATTGTTGTTTGGAAAAGTTTGAACCGAAAGCACGTTTTGAGCAGCTTTTTCTCACTAGGGTGGAAGCGCAAGAATCAGGAGCCTGTGAGCCAGGAAAAAAGTGTTCCAAGGGTTAACGTTCCTATGCGTATAGATCAGGGGTAGCAAAGTATCTATCGGAAATTCACATGAACCAAGGTTTTCTTAAAGTTTTCGTGATCTACGGAATCGCTTGGGGGCAGATCTACGAAAGGAGTCCTATCCATTCAGGCATTGCAGATGCCAGCCAGTAAGAAACCTGATTTTCTTCGCTAGGATCAAATATAGAGTTCAGGTAACGGTCCTTTTTTGCGGTGCAGGTACTGTGAGCCATTCAATTTCATCAATCTGAAAAAATCGCTCTAATTCGAAGAGACTCTTTTTTCATGAGAGTTATGTGTTCGTATATGAGTTGACCACCAAGGTTGATCTATTGGGCAGTCTGTGAATGCCGTTGGGTATTCCAATTTGCCAGTCTTACACAAAGTCTTACCGAAGGTTCCTTGCTCTCATTTCTCCATTTATTAGCCTCCAATTCGTTTTTTCCTATCTGTGGAAGTTAACTAGGATATGGCTTGACAAAGTTTTGAAGGGAATCGCTTTATTGTGTGAGTCTCCTTTTACTATCAAGCCCGAGATGGAAATTTTTCAGGAGAGATGCTACGGGCATCAATTCTGTATTTATTCTTCAGCAGTCGTTCACCACGAGATTCGGAATACTCCGATAGTCGGCTATTTTATAGCCTATTGTAGGATGAAATGATCAATTGAAGGTAGGTGGCAAAATGTCGAATTTTATGAGATATTAATTTTATGCTGCCCAACTTGGCGGTGTGATGACTGCGGTAGAGCTCATTGATGTCGTCCAAAACAGATCATTACTCTCCACCTATGTGATCACTGTATTTTTTTGTTACTAATGGCAAAAATCGTGCGAAATCGGTTGCTTATTTTCAGCTTTTACTTCTGCCACTTCATTTTCATTTTGTTTGTTCTTTCTACTTATCGAAATTCGTTTGTGCGTCTTCCTCTTTCACTGAATTCTTTAATTTCCTGTTTTTCCCTGCCGCTGTATGTTCTCACCTTTGTTGCACTCATTCCCCAATCATTCCAGTCAAATGTAAGAACACAAAAGGTTCTTCATTGAATGCTGCTTTGTCTGCCTCTCCACATACAACCGTCTATTTGGGCGAGACAATTCTATACTCAGGGAGTACTATCCTACGTACTATAATGGGCTAGGTGTGCCCGTGGCTTGTCTGTATGTTTCTATGCATGCCAACCTTTGTTTGAACGGAAATTCGTGATTTCTGTTTCACTGGATCTAGGACCGTCAAAGTTAGTAGGAGTACAGGAGGCAGGATGGGAACACTGCTAGGTGGCTGAACTGGACTTCGCTAGAGTAGAAGGAGGAGGGGTGTGTGCGTTCGATCAGAAACTCTTGACTCCTGTTCCCCTGGACAAGAGTGTTCCAATACAGAAGGGATACAGATGGCAGAGTAAATGAGGAGAGTCAGGCGAGCCGACTGTTGTTTGATATAATGGTAACAAGGAAAGAATTCGATAAGAGACATTCGTCTGGAAAGGCTCGAAACAGCTTTCTTGTTGAATTTCTCATCTGCCTGGGTTGTCTCTACACTCGTTCCCTACTATTCCTGCTTACCTTTCGATTCGTGTCAGATCTTATATAATTGCTGGCTACAGACTCTACAGCTGTTCCACTGCTTTCCTTAATGAACTCTTCTGGCGGCTATCCTTCATGGATCTTATCGCAACGATATGGACATAATGAAGTTCATGAGAGCGATATCAAAGGAACAATCACTTACAATCATGGGGTATGCTGTAAAACTTCTGCCTTCCAGATTTTTAGCTGGGAGCCATAGTCGTTTTCGACATTTGAGATATTCATTCATTACAATTCACAGAAGTAAAGACATAGACAGATCCGTAAAGTTGGTTGTGATCACAAGCTGGCGAGAACTTCTTTCCCGGCTCCGTTCCTTAGAAGTACCGGTTTTTCATGGACAAAGTTGTCGAACCCGTATTTGCCATTCAGTCGACCCATGCCGCTGTTGCCAACACCACCGAATGGTAGGGAGCTTACTAAATTTGTAAGGTTTATTCTGGAATTAATGTACCGTGTTGTCCCATCGACCACTCACCGAATGCATGCGACATCACATCATTCACCGTTACTCCACCGCTGGATGTCTCCAAAAGAAAGCGTTTTATCTGAAACTCTGTGTTTAGTAATCGAATAAATAATTTTCATAGTAGCCAACCTTTTCGGAATCTTTCGTAAAAAGATAGGCGCCCAGAGGTTTCTCGTTATCTCTGACGTATTCGATCGCCTCATCGAACGATTTCACCGTCAAAATGGGCAGAAGAGGTCCAAACACCTGAATGCAATTTGAGGTAGTTGTTTGAATCTCACATGACTTATCCAGTACCTCTTCCTGCATGAAGACGTCGTCCTTCTCGACTTCGATAACTAGTGGAGGAAGGAATCTGTCCTCTCTACAGGGTTCCTCGCTGGCCTTGTATACGATTTTTCCTTTCGTATTTTTGAGCAGGGATAACAGTCGACTTGAAAAGATGATTTAATCGTCTATCAAAATAAGTGGCGACATAAACAATCATTTGTATGTGAGCAGGGAAATTTCGATAAAATGTTTGGTTTTTGTAAAAATAGAGACTTATCTTAGAGAAAGACTTTTAATTTGTTTTTAAATACAATTAAGATTCATCGTTCCTTGAATAGGCTGGTTTTGTTGGAACCTTGGGATTTCGCATAAAAAAGTCGCCTGGGCAATTTCCAAGTTGGTCCCAGTCACTGATCTTATTATCTTTCCGATGAAAGCGGAAGAAGCAGATAGTAATCCACGGGTGCGAAGATCTGATGATAACGAGGGGCGGGTCAGGACATGCATTCCTAAGCCCTAAGGTTTTCGCCAGGTCTTTCTCAAAATGTGCGGAAGAGCATAGTGAAGGAGAGAATAGATCTTGTTCTGTTTGCCAGCTGAAGCCATAGAAGGGATCCCTTTGGGCGCAGTAAGCTTAGGCACTGACAGAGTTAGTTGGTGAAGTTCTCAGGGTATGATCTTTCCATAGCTCCGCCAAATTCTGAACAATTCCCTTTTAAAAGAGAGTTCAGATTTTGACGTGAATTGCAACCTCCGGGCCTTGAGCGCCTCCTCGTGTTGTTCTCCTAGACAACTCTTTCCTCGTCGTCAGATTGTCGAGCACGGTTCAAGGAGAAGTCCGCTGGCATGTCAAATAGTTCAATCAAGCATTTGTCCTCATTCGAAGGTGGTGGCCTCCTAGAACTTGGGACTCCATTCTCCATAACCCTCCACAGCGCCGACAATGGCTCGCTGTTGTGCAGTCATACAGTTTTTTTTCATGCCGAAGTCGCCGTTTCTGAATGTGCGGAATCAAACTTTTATAGTGTAGTAGTAGACTATGCCTCGCCTCTGTAGAATCTTTAGTGCTGACGTCATGCTTGAATTTATGAAGCAGAAGTGGTCGTATTCTTGCTTGAAATCAGAGACTACCTCTGCCGAATGATGGAACAAATTGCTGTGATTTGAACATCGCCTATCCTTGACAAATATGTATTTTGAGCGGAAGGTTTCAGAATGATTTTCAAAAATTTTACATCATGAAGAAGTGCATGAAAGGGAGGTTTTTTCCAATTATGTACAATGATGGAATACTAAAAGATCGGGAATACGGTTTTGTTATTCTATGTAATTATCATATTGGATAGTAGAGGTGCCGCCATGGGTAACCCCCCAGTCGATACATCGGACAGGAGCAGAAATATTTCTGCAACCTAAATTTTGAATAATACTAGGTGCAAGAACTTCTCTGGCTCTTCAGAAAGCAGAAATTATAAGCGATCAAAGGACTAACTCGAAGTGGCTTCTAGTGACGATTCGAGCAAATGCTTTGTTGTTCTTGAATGGAGCCGTCTCCTCGTAATGCTTCGCTATAGCTGCTATAAGTTTCGGTTTGACATCTTCTGTGGTGAGTATCTGAAGCAAATAGCTAGGTGAGTACTAGTAAAGAGATAATTGGCCATATGCTGCTCGGCGTTTCTTATGAAAAGAGATCCGCAATTTTATAGGTTCCCCCCATAATGTCCATCACTTCGTTCCCTGAAGGGCTTCCTTTTAGGAACAAAATGAAACAAAATGATACTGTCATGTTCACTTACTGTCCCTACATGCTGTGGTTTGATGCTTTCAAAATACAAATGGCAGAATGCTCCCGAATGAAAGCGGGATGCATGACGTATCCGGAAAAGAGCCAATGGTTCAAGGCTCGAACTGAGTACGGAGGTCTCATACTGTGTCTGTCGTCCCATGACTAAGCTTCCTAATAGGTTCGCTTCTTGTAATATTCTTGCAGGCTCTTCTTAGCAATGATCAGGTTTTGACCAGGGTTAGTAAAGCTTTTTAGTAAAGTGAATGTCTAGATAATTACGAAGGTATTGGTACCGATGACACCAGTAAAAGGTGAGATGATTACAGAGTAGAAGGTACACGATTACACGTGGGAATGGAGACCTTCACGGATGGGAATCACTAGTGATGGGGCCAGTGTTCCGGAATAATCAGCGTTTACTTGCCTATTCCGGTCTTTACTTATCAATCGATTGAAATAAATCACTTACATAGTCCGAGGAGATGCAAATCTGTCCACAATTCATCATTTTTGAGAAGATGATCTTCTTTGCGGCATCATCGAAATCGGCATCAGCTTCTACGAGTACTGGACTGAAATGACTTTTTGCGTACCCTTACGACAATTCATTATGGGAGTCTTTGTCTAGTGAATAGAGTGGTAGTAAAAGTCATCGACGAAAAGACGAAAAAATATCCCGCTAATTTGAAGTTGAATTTTCAGCTCATTTCTCTTTCTTTATTCAGTCGACATTTCCCAAATATGTGTATGATCATTTCGGATACATGTTGCCAGTCATCCGGTCATTTACACAGCTGGATGGTTACAACCCTGATCCCTCCTTTTTGGATTACGCCACGCATTTGGTGATGACTTTTTTCACGCGACCCATATTTTTCTGGAAGTGAGTTCAATATCCAACCGTGTCGACAAAGAATTTGCTGCTTGGAGAACAGGCTGAGCAATAAGCATCATGTTGCAGCGCTTTTATTGATAATTAGATGAGATTGCAAGACGAAACAAAAGTGAGATATTGAAAAGGCACCCGTGAGCAATACTCCCATTGGGCTAGCTTACTTCGGTATTTTCCGTTTATGCATCATAGTATCGGATAAAACCATTGCTCTTTGAAAGCCTTCAATTGCAGTCTCAGATCCTACCACTCACTTTTTTCCGCCGAGTTCAAGAGTGACTGGCGTTAAGTTCTTCGCCGCTGCCGTCATGATTACCTTTGCCACTGTAGGATTGCCAGTATACATTATGTGGTCGAATCGCTCCTGAAGCAGCGCAGTGGTCTCGGGCACAGCTCCTTCCACGACTGCGAGCAAGTTCTGAAAATTTTTTTGCTAAGTTTACCCTATTTTTTAGTTTATCTGTATCACTTACTACTTGTAAGCCTATGAAGAGCTGATGGGAATTTGAATAACAAGCCATGATTCTAAGTAAGGAAAGTATGCAAAAGGCAAACCTTGTCAAAGTGACTGCCTACAAGGCGGGCAATAAGCGACGAAAACGATGGAGCATGCTCGGATGGCTTCAGAATTACGGTGTTTCCTGCAAAATGATTTCTATGGTGGAGGTTTCTCCATTCTCGCTGTTTTATAAAAAAGATCTTCTCTCTAAACACAAACATTACCATGTTTTTGCTTCAGACATTATTTTCTTTCGGTTAGGAGTCCTGTTCCAATGGTTGCTAAGGGCTAAAGGGAAAAGGCTGGGAATCGAAATAGCAATTTCATACGAATCAGCGCTGCAGTTGTAACGTGAGTGATGAGCTTTATTTTTCACTTGTGTGGTATATTTCCAATAGTCCACAGGCCGTCTATATGAAATGCTCGGCTAAGAGCTTATAAGCTGTTATCGATTGGTATAGATTCGTGTAGCTAACCTCCAGCGATTGCCGATGCGACCGGCATTGAAGTGATCAAGGGGAAGTTCCACGGTGCAATCACCAACACCACTCCCAGTGGTTCTGCCATCAACACCACCTCATCGTCGTCTTGGTCGAATGGCTGAGGTGTAGGCAATGTCCTCGGCGCGTTCCACTCTTCTAGGTGCTCGAGTAATCCTTGGACTTCGTTTAAGGCACTGGCGACTTCGCGGGTTGAGTCCTGAAACCGAAGAGGCTAACCACTTAACTTGGAGTGATTTGAAGTCGTAGTGTATTGGTTAGAGTTAGACAATGATATGCAGACGAGGTAAATAGAAAGAACTTGCTTACTGACTGGCCTACAAGATTCAACGCTTCAGGTAGATTCCTTCCATCAGCTCAACAAAATTAAAGAAATGTTGCGGAAGTAGTGATATTACTGATAGGTCGTTACCCTTATTGTAAGCATTCTTGGTGCAAATGAAGCGAAAACCATAAGAAGGAACGAAGTCTCCGGTAATCACAAGGTCTCAAAACTTGATAGGAGGAGCCATGTTGCCTTTTTTCACGCGACTTGGGGGATCAATTTTGTGGAAATGGACAGTCTATTCACCACGGCGTCTAGGAGCCAATAAGTCATAAGGAATTGTTTCCTTAGATTTTTTGCATTGGGAAAATACGGAATGTAGCTTACCCTGCCAAGATCGGTTAGTATAGCTGCTACGATGTCGTCCTTGTGATCTTCTATCACCTTTTTCAATGTCAGCAACGTTTGACGTCGTGCTTCCAAACTTCTTGTGGCATCCGTTTTGAAGTAGGCTCTCTGGCTTTCGACTAACTAAAAGGATTTTTCTGCCCTTCACTCAGAATCATTTTATTAATGATGGACGTAGAAGTGTCCAATATTTATCTATAAAAACACTGATAAATAGGTGTCGTGAGCTAATCAGTAAGAGTGATAATCGGTTGGAGACAACTCACCTGATTGTAGGAGACCATTATACTGAACTAACAACTAGTTGAGGAAGCAGTATCCTAAAAATAGTCCTCTTTTTTCTTTTTTATTGGCATGTTGCTTTATTCTATTGTTATTCGAGGAGGCTGTTGAAGTTAAGAAAAGCAGATCTGCCTAAAAATCTAACGGGACAAAGCTTTCAACATCGTGAAATTTCAAAATAATCACATCCCGATATAATCAAAGGCATAGTGCGCGACTGTTTGAGATACTTTTTTCAATCGAAAAACAGAAGTACTTGTTGGAAGTAGTGCATCGGTTACGAAAGTTTTGTTTGATTGACTTCGCAAAAATAAGGCTATCCAAAAGTAGTGAAAATAGAAGTTTTACGAGTCTGACATGAAGGAAGTGGCATAGAAGAGGTATTCGGACGAGATTTCAGTTGTTGCTATTGCGCAAAGAGCCGAGCACAGCAATAATTTTGCAGACCTGCCTTCCCATGCGGCTATGAGTCATAACAACTTGTTTGGACTTCCTTCCCTCGGATGTCCCTTGGATAATACAGTCTCTACTATGCTGTTACAGCTCGTCCGCCTTCGGCGAGACTTAGAGCCGATATAATCGTTGATCCTTATAGCGCCTCACCTGGGCCATTTCCCGACCTGATAGCGCTACAAATGATGTACGATTGGGTTATAGATGTATCTTAGGGATATCTCACAAGCCATTTTATCGAGAACTGTGCCATTAACCAGTCTAGAAGGAAACCTATAGCAGAGTTATGTAACAACAAATGCCTTTCTTCAAAATAATACGAAGAGAAGATATTTTCTACCCAGCTTGGAACAGCAGAAGTATTTAGATACTCATCTTTTCTATTCAACAGGTTTGAAGCAGAATGTTCTCCAGTTATTCGATCCTTTAGGTGCTAGTACCTTTTGCTNAGAGCATTGGAGCACTGCAGGAAATAATGTAAAAATTAGTCATTATGGTAGGCATGAAAAGTAGAGTCACTAAAATATTTTGAAGTCTTTTTTAGCACTGAGGGCGAATCTTTCCAAGATGAGCTACCGTTATCCATAAGCAGAGCTGGACGCCTTCCTTCTACGGGCATGAGTGTTTCTTCTAATCATAAGTTCCTTTTTTTCAATATGTGAACAAATGACAACCCGACAAATTAGGTCTATTTATTTTGTAGAGAAAAACTTATGTTCTATTTGTTCTGTTTCTGTTTCTCTTACGTTCAAACATTCTTCTCGGGTCAGCTTTCTTGTGAGTCTGCCTAGTGGTATACGCTCTTCGGTATACGCTTATTTCAAGTGCTTTTTGTCATTGCCTCCTGCCTGCTCTGCCCCAAACGCCTGAAATTTTCCCCCTCTGACTTCTCCTTGTCCTCGAGCAATGCAGAATCTCGGAGCTTGCATTCAATAATTCATACTTTTCAAAACTACGCGATAGAAATAGACTTTTCAAACGAGTAAACCTTATAATATAAGTAAGATTTCAGCCAGGACTAATGTAAATGTTTGAAAACTCAACAAATTCCAGTATCGTTGGTGGCAGAGCAGAAGTGTTGATGAATAGGGATGAAGATATTGAATTAGTATTGGAAATGGACTGTGAAAACGACGAACGAGCAACTTCTGCTCAACATGGTGACCATTCACTTTATCAAGAAGCCAAAACTGAGCATAGGCTACACTGTGGATGGCACCAAAGTCCAAGACAACAGGCTGGTTAATAAGCCTTGAAATGATCTAATGCTTTGTCTTTCATGTTCAAGAAACACGGTCTTTTTGAACACACACCGTAATTATTAGCTCTTTCTGTCGAAAAGGATGGAAACAAACAATCGCAAATGTAAAGCTTTAGTGCTATTTTCGAAGTTATGCCTAATTTTCAAAATTTTGGATTCATTCTCTCGAATTAATAGAATATGAGGAGGTTGTAAACGTTAACGTCCAGGTCGTGTAGAACGAGTATTATAGATCTGAGTATTTAGAAAAAAGTAGTGAAATAGGTTGGTGTCGCTGATCGCGAATTGTTGCTATCTGTTTATTGCTATCTTATCATTGCTGTCATCGGTTCGTGGATAAGACCAGATGGGAAACGGTCAGTAATGAAAGACAAATGAGTGCATTGGGGACTCAAGAAATTAATTTGCATAATTTCAGAGCATCCGTCTGAATTTGCGGAGAAAATCCAAAGGCCTGAAGGGAGAAATGGTTTTTTAAAACTGCTATCTCTGAGCTTCATTTAGACTTCTTGTCGTTTTGCGTACATTTCAAAGCTCTTTGCTCTTCACTTTTATTGGTGAGCTTTCGGCATATAATGACTTCGTCAGACCTTAATTACTTACAATATATCGAATCATATCATGTCAACCGGAAATATTGGGGGAGGGGGGGGNGGGGACTGGACCCCGCCGACAGGTTCATTCCCCTTTTTTCCCCAATATTTCCGGTTGACTTGGTATGATTCGATGTGTTTTGTATTGTAACTGTGACTGTATGCAGCAATTTATTGTAAGGAATTAAGGTCTGACGAAGGCATTATATGACGAAAGCTCACCAATAAAAGCGAAGAGCAAAGAGCTTTAAAAAGTACACAAAACGACAAGGAGCAATGGTTGTTAGTGTCTTCTGCGAAACGTTTTGGTTCAACACATTTACTTGCATGGAGACATCGTCCTTCTGACTTGACCATATATGTAAAGAAAAATCTTCTAGCCCTGACCCTGCATGGTCCTTCAATAATTTTGTGTATTACCTCTCTTCTTGTGTTCTTCATCCACTGAAAATCGCTGGGTAAAAAGAATGAAAGCTCCAAAGCCAGTTCTTCTTTCAGAGAAATGTGGAGGGCAGAATCTTCGACAGTTAATATTCACAGCCTGAGGAGAATCAGTGAAAAGTACGGAATCATTGCAGGCACATTCTATTGATATCAATTGATGGATACAGCAGTGCGGTGCGATTGTCCTTATACGGCTCAAATGGTCCCATCAAACGACATTGAATTCTGCAGCGTTTTCTTGGTTTTTGAGAACTAAAGCTGTTCAAAAACTGAAGCAGTTGTTTGGTTCAGCCATTGCTTGCCATATTACAGATGTACTTTCAAATTCTTCAACGCTTCCGAGCTCAAGACAAATGCATGGCGCATACCATGGCATGCAAATCAACGAGAGTCGAACAGATTATCCTGTATGTTCTTACCGGCCCTTTTCAAGTAAGTATAGGTTATCACCTATACTAACTGGCACGAAAACGAGAGTGTGGTCCCTTCGTGACTATTAAGGCGTTTCAATGCATTTTCAATGCCTATGTAGCCAAGAAGAGTGCACATCTGCTGTCTATCATCTATTCCAGACAGAACGGCATCTGTTTCATCATTGGGAGCCCCAGACTCCGAGCCACTAGTTCAGCAACTCTTGAACTCCAGCTGTTTCATTTCATTTCGAGTTCCTATAGGTGTTTGCTAGTCATCCTTTGTCCACTCGTTTATCCATCAAGTGTGGAATTTTTACTGCGCATGTGAGCGAATCGTCTCTCCGAGTAATCTTGGCTTTCGGCAATTCAAACTCTGTTTCTACAATTTTTATTCATTTTCTTGCCATTTTAGCCTTATCAACAGACCTGCGCAACTGGATACATCACATATTCGCTTTACATAGGAATTGCTAGCACTTCACAGAGATGTGAAGTTGAAGGATGATATACTGCCAATCTGCGACTTATTATTTTATCCATTGAAAGGAACTTCATCAAAATAGAAAGTGCCGAGTTGGACGGCCATAGTTAATCACCATGGGACGCGCCATGAATTCGCTACCCATTCAGACACTCGAAGGTGTTTGATTGAGATGTCCTTTAATATCCTTAGTGTCTCTATCTTCGCGATCAGTCAGGTTTTACCAAGCCGTGGGAGACCTTCGATATCGTGACCAAAAGCTTATCAAACAAGAGAAAACTCAGCTTTTATGGCTACAGCACCAGTGCATAGAAATCGCTACCGTTATCATAATCAGCTGTTGGATAATTTCCGGTTAATAGGGTGAGAATAACAGGAGCTCTTCATAGGTCTAGATACTGAACAAAACATGTAGTTTGGCTAGTCAGGTAAACGAAAAAGTATTGAGACCCATTCCCTCTTATATGTATGGCGCTATATCTAGCATATCTAAAAACTTGGGAGGAATGACTCGGCGAACGAGCAAAAGCAGTAAGCAGGGCCCTCTAAGATTCGCAAGATTGAGTGAAGTTCTTTCAGGCTGCGAAAGTTTCATTTTTTTAAAGTATGGCGTGGATTCAAAATCTGAAGAACTGGCAGAGACTCCAGGACTCAGCAGAGTATATGAAACAGGTTCGAAATTGGTTTTCGATGTCAACATATTTACTTTCATACTAGCCAAGCAGTTCTCCTCGCCACAACAGGTCGGTCAATTCAAAGCGTGACCAACTAAAATCAAAAGCATCACTCCCATTCGGGATCTCAGAATCAATTGGGTCCGTAATGGCCCATCTTACACACTCCAGAGCGGTCTCTTTCTGGATTTTTCACACTGCATTCCCTTATTTCTTTGTATCTTCTTTACATCAGATGCACTTTTTCCTGACGTTTCTTGATACCACCTCATTGTTAACCATTCTTCAATCTACACCCTTCTTTATGTGGTCACTGCCAAAAGTGGATGGAATAAGGTAGAGGGATGGTAGTGAATCTGAAGGCAGTACAAATTGCTCGAATATTTTTAGCAATTGTATATAGAGCGGATCAGGTGGACGGTAGAAAATCATGCATAGTGCGCATTGTTGTATGGCTGAATCTGAGAAACGGTGTTTCGTAGGACTTGTACGGGTTGCTGGGTAACCTACCGTCCAAAGCAAGTAGGATACCTGATCTACAAAGAGGGCTTATCCAAATTAGCAGTTCAACCTCCATCTCACTCGTGCTCTGATCCATAGAACCGGCTAGACAGCAGCGGGCCACCACTGATCCTGCTGGTTGCCTCTGTTCTAATTCCTTTCTTGCGTCTAACCCCTATTTCATTGAAATTGTTTGTAACCCACTTGTTCAGATCTATGGAGACCCACAAGCGTATCTTCATGCTGATACGACAAAATTCGTTACCGAACGAGAATATTATGGTGATTTTGGATATGGAGAATGTTTCAACTCGTCCGAATCAGGTGTCCAGGTGAGGTTGGGAGGTCTTGTAAAACATGTTCGAATTTTTCATATACTTTTTTCAGTGTGAAATAATCACAGGAAAATTCGATCCCAAACTTTTACCATATGACAAACGGATGGCATGGCATTTCAAGGAATTCTGCTATAAGACATCGGCTCATGGAATTCCAATGATTGGACAGGCACCGAATCGTTATTACAGGTAGCCATGTTTCTTAGCGGTGGCTATTGGGAGGTGACAGATCTCTGAACCTAAATTGTTGGCTAATTCCGTTTATTTTGATTTCCCTCTAGGTCTTTATCAGCGGCAAATGTAATAGTGTGATCAAATCTGGCCAAAAGCCATGTTCATCAGTGTTAAGCTCAAAATTTCCACCTCAATACGAGTATGATAGTCGCGGTGATCGATCCACTTACCGCCCCTGTGGTAGCAGCTCCTAATTCCTCTGCTCCATATTTGCATAAGTGTACAGATACCTGCGGCTTCTGGGAATCCAACCTAAGATTTGCTAATGATCCCGTAAGTGAAAGGAGTAATAAATCTTTTCACGACGACTGCATACATCGGGGAGGTAGCTGGCCGATACAGTAATAGTTGTGTCTGCGTTGCTGTGATCCGCCCGAGATTGGCATCCCCTCACTTTTCCCCTTAGTAGAACCTCTTAAAGATCTTGATCTAAACATCCAAGTGGGAATTCTCCTTATAACGGGATAATGGGGAGAGACCAGTTATCCGCAAGTGACGAAATTTAAAATTCCTCAATCACTGACCCAGCGATGCTTCAACGGCGGGTCTGATTTCACCTGATGATCTGTTTCAGAACTTCTAACCAATTTTCAGAACCGTCTGGGTAATATTGTTTCTTGGATGTATGACAATGTTATATATGAATGCACAAAGTGTATTGGACAAGTACAATAGGAACGAAAAAATCGTCGACATTCAATTGAAATTCGGTAAGAACAAAGTCTTTTAAATCTTTTCCATAAAAGGAATTGATCAGAATTTTGTGACTTCATTCGCAGTGCCATCGATTTTTCAACGCCATCTCATTATTAACAATTTTTTCTCCATATACTTATCGTGAGCGGAATTGTGAACACTGTACCGTATAAAATTACAGGAGGATTTTTGTAGTTGACGCCTGCATTTACATTTCCTGTAAATAGGCAGGAAATGTGAATATAATAAGGTGATTCACTTAAAGGCGAACCTTATACAAAAATATCAGAACAGGAGCACAAAACCATTGAAAATGAAAACGGATTTTTTTCGCGATTTTTGATATCCTTAATGACATTTTCAATGATAATGTCGAATAAATAGTGGTTATGTGATGTTGATAAAGATTCCAATATTTTGATCTGTCGGCAGCTCAAATTCCTTCGTCAACCTTATACGGATAAGGCACGGATCTCCCTGCAAAATTCGACGATCAGCTGAATCTGAAGAGCTGTCTTGATCAACTACGACGTCAGAAGATGATGTCCGTATCATCACTTACACTCTTCTCCGAAGATTTGCATCGTACTAAACTGAAGGCTTTGTATAATTGTGTACAGGAATCAGTTTACCTTCGTACTAGTGTTAGCCAGTACAGCTAGTGCTAGGCTTCTCCACCTTGGGTCGACTGGACAGTGTTGTCATTGAAAATGAATGTACAAATTTTTTTGAATTTTTATCATATTCACTTTTTTCTATTGAATATTGCCTACAAGTGTGACAGTGTGTAAAATGTTATACATAACCGAAATTGAATATATCGATCAACTGCGTTTGTGAATTTTTTATTCGTTGATTTGTGATAAACTGAACTTTGAAAACTCTTTTTATGGTCCCACCTCCTAAGATGTCCATTCAAGGTAGACCGTTCACTGTTTCAGACACGGCTCCATTTCCTGCTATAACGCTGTGCAATCTGAATCCCTACAAAGCCAGTCTTGCAACCAGTGTCGATTTAGTGAAGAGAACGGTAAGGCTATCGATCAATATATCGATGATTTCATGTACCTTAGATGTTTCCATTCAGCTGACAGCTTTCGATGGTGCCATGGAAAAGGCCGGAGGAAAGCAGGATAAAGATCCGGATGCCGCATCAGGTGCTTCCACGGCATCTCCGAAGGCGAAGCGTTCTGTTGGCCTTCATGGGACATTCTTCGAACCGGTACCATATTCAAATGTCATCTATGATCTTTGTTAGTCACTTTGTCGATTGAATGACTTGTCTTTGAAAATTAACGAAATGGGGAAGTGGCTGTTTTTGATGGATCATATCTTTGAACGCCATGTATTCAAGTATCAAATAAACCAGTCGAAAGCTTGGAAAGGGCATCTGAAGAGCACCAGATAGAGCCCAAGCCTAGAATGCAATAGTGAAACTACTTTTCCCAAGCAAACCTAACACTAAAAGTAAGAAATTAGATGGACGTTGAGCCTATCAGGGTGCCAATTCAAGGACGGCTTCAGCACTTGCAGCGATTTCCGTGCCCAACAATTTTGACTATTAGATGACTTTACTTCTTTGTGACTTCTCTGAAGTAATCCTCTAGAATACCTGATGATTAGGTGCCGGTAAAGAACTCAGCCGAGGAAAGCTGATGTGATTTCTCTCCTGTGGGGTAGCTCCCTTTTGTGAGGGTCATATTACGGCACGATTTCCTTGAAGACGTTCTTTGAAAAATTTATATGCTAAGACTGAACAATTCCTAACCAACCTTGGGAACGAATTCTGCAGTACATTAGTACAGTTGTTTACTGCTGCACCAGATTAGTTTTCTGAGAGCATCACCTTCCGTGAGCGATAAATCAAGATTACTTAATTTGAGAAAGGTTGGTATGGGTCAGAATGGGTCATACACGAGTGTGTGCGGGTGCAATGTACAGGAGGGCTTTAGCTTGCCCACACACGAATGCCCCTACCGTAATAGCAGCTCGGGATTAAAGCATCAGTCTATGCGGAACATGTCTTCGGCAAGGAAACCCTTGTCGCTCTTCTCTCTTTAGTACGCTTTCTTTGAACTTTCACAATTGCAAGACGAGTAATATCACCAAAACCAGGAAAACAGAAGAGTGGAGATTCTCGGAATAAACACATTGCCTATATTTATCTTTCTTCTGTTTTCAGGGCTATGCTCGATGCCTCTGTGGGAAAACATCAAGTGAAATGGACGATTTCCTCGATGAAAAAGCGGATGCTGGAAAGACGACGAGAGGCTTCAGTCTAGGTACTTGATGGAGTCCTTGATAAAAAAGACTATTTGTAGTTAAGGAAAGAAGGCGACAGAACTGACAAATTGCTCAGCTGTTCTTATCCTTCGTTAGTGTTCCCCAACATTAGAGACGTTTACAATGGTCTTCTTCAATGAAAATGTAGTTGGAGGGGCCGCTATACTGTTCAGGAGGACTTTAGCTTGCCCACACACGAATGCCCCTACCGTAGTCGACGTCTCTAGCTCCAATGGCCTCAAGCACAGGGAAGGATAAAGCATCGACTATAGCATGTGGGTATTGAACTAAGGTTATGCCGTAGAACGAGACATGTTGTCCGTGAGGTTTTGCATCTGTTGTATTTTATTTTTAATTGATGGTCACTGTAGGAACCAGGCTATCTCTCTGAAGTTTGCGGATGTTCAGTCATTTGTGCACCGCAATATGGCTATAACATTGATTCTTCTAGCAAAGTCACTAAAAATTTTCCAAAAAAATGCTGCGGTACAATAATAAAAGGCGATCATCAAATGAGCCTACGAAGCTGCTATGTGGATGATCCCTTCTGCATAAAGAGAAGAATCAACGTGATTCAGAGGACCAAGAGCTTGAATATGGCCAAGAAGATTATTATCCTGAAAGTACAACTGGAACGAGTGTTATGGAGGAATGCAAATCTGAAAGGTATTTGTTTTTTAGATAATCGATTTGTATCTTGTCTGATTATCGATTTCATCCATCCACTTCTAGGACAAAATTAGACGAACCGACCGGTTACGACGATCATTGTATCTGCGCCTTTGACCGTAATACTAACGACGCTTGGCCATGCTTCCTGAAGGACGCATGGGAATCGACGGAATGCGACACATGCAATGAGCATGCTTTCTGTACAAAAGATAACAAAACATGTAAGTAGCACCTTTTTTTACTGGATCAGACTCTCTATACAGTAAGTGGATCGAATTCGTTTCGTTCTTCAGTATGTGTTTACGTAACTTTCTAGTCTGGTCGCATGGGCAACGAACAAATTCTTGTCATAGCGCCAAATACATCGCCGTGACATACGAACAATTCGACTTTGGAAGAGTACCATTCCGAAAAAAAAAAACACTTCGCCTCTTATTTTAAACTCCCCCTTTCTGATCTGCCTCTTTCTCCCCGAGGATCCTTCGAGCATCTGCGGCCTCCCACCTTCAGGCTTGAGCCTGCCTATTCCTTGCCTTTACACTCCTGAGGCACTTTTCTAGCAAATACCTTGTCATGACATACGTCACGTGAAGAGACAGCAAAAACGTCAATCTGCCGATGAAGCGTGCAAGCGCGCAATGCGTATTACCAGTATTGCAATTATTTATGCATTGAAGGCACAGTTCACGATAATTTCGAGGTGCCTTTTCGGATTGAAAAGCGAAAGCGTTTATGTAGAGGAGTACACTGTGGCGAACAAAGCGAGGAAATCCGCCTATTTCATGGCTTTTCAGAAGTTGTGGAAGTGGAGGTTGTACGAGTTCACCGCGACGGAAATGGCATGTGGGGGTATTTGGACGAGATTTAGCTTGCTCCCATTGCGCAAAGAGGTGACTCCATCAAACCGAAATTGTCCCAAACTGTCTTTCACTGTCGCCATGGGTTATGACAAGTTTTCAGAACTCCTTAGGCTCCTCGGGATAGTGCAGCCTCTATAAAGCCGTGAAACTCGACCCTCATGGGTGTGGCGGTCACACGATACTATCTCTGGCCCCTTATTGTGCCCTACGCTGTACATTTTTCGGCCTTATAATAGCAGGTATGGTATAAGAGCGTCGAATTCATACTCGGAACCTGGTATGATGCAGGCTTTAGCTGTCAAAACCAGTAGTTTTGGGAAACTGTGGTTACGATGAAAAAAAAGATCACAAATCATTCTGCTTCTAGCTACGGGCCACAAATCGCCGTGTTTGTGCGCACCATCACGTTTTTGTGTCGCCTACAATGGTAAAACACCGCCGATTGAAATTTGGACTTATTTGAAAGGAGGACCACCAACAGAAGATCCGAATTTCTTGGAAGCAATGGGTTTCCAGGTATTCTTCACCACTATTCTCATTTTCTATTTCGTTCTCAACATGGATACCATTATTCCTCAGTGAATTTTGTCTTCTTTCCGAATTTTTTGTTTTTTATGCTTTTTTTATTAATTTTATTCTAGGGAATGACCGATGAGGTTGCAATTGTGACGAAAGCCAAAGAAAATATTATGTTTGCTATGGCCACGTTGTCTATGGAAGCTCGTGAGAAGCTATCTACGACAAAGAGAGAACTGGTTCAAAAATGTTCCTTCAATGGAAAAGCCTGTGATATCGATGGGTGAGGGCCATTTGTCGGTTGATGGTCTCGAATGAAGTAGACAGTCATTTTAAAGGGTTTGGGCTGGAGCAAATGGCTGGTTTTACTTGTACCTGCTTGACTTGAAGCGAAAGAGCATAGATTTTCGGGGTGATCAGATCCGTTCCGAATTTATTCACCATCCATTCGACTTCTTTGAAGAAATGGAGTGGCGCGACCTATCGGACATTGGAAAGAGATAGAAGCAGAAGGGACAGGATTTTGGGTATCCGTGGAAGTGAAAATACCAAAAGTGTTCATAGTCACTAACCTCCATAATGCGCGACAAGAGTAGGTCCAGTTAGAGACGTTTGTTCGGATAGAACTTCAGACGAATGCTGGCAAACGTGTTGTCATTTCCTCAATTTTGTGTCTTTCACGTACATGCTGTCTTATGCCTTGGCTGAGTGGTCAACTGGGATCGCCAAGTGTGGCCGTATCTCCAAAGTTATGAGCTGACGAAAATTATTTACTGATTTATTCATTTCCAGAGACTTTCTCACTCATATCGATCCAGTGTTCGGCGCGTGCTTCACCTACAATCACAATAGAACAGTCAATTTGACGAGTATCAGAGCAGGTACGATTTTCTCTGAGTGATTAGGTTAAACAACTCTCGATGCAAGCTGACTGAATTTGATTCCTCTTTTTGGTCTCTCGAGGCTTATCCTCACTCATGCTATCACAGGCAATTTACTTGCTGAATTCCTACTCCAGTTATACGTCAGTGGTGCCGCCTAATATCGTAAAACATCCTCAGCCATTTTTTTTCAAGGTCCCATGTATGGATTGCGTATGTTGGTGTATGTAAATGCGTCGGACTACATGCCAACCACTGAAGCCACCGGTGTCCGTCTGACCATCCATGACAAGGAAGAGTTTCCGTTCCCAGACACATTTGGCTATTCCGCCCCCACCGGCTACGTATCATCGTTTGGACTGCGATTGGTTGGTATTGCTTTTTGTTTGCTGTGTTTTGTTATAATACATGATTGATCTTTAACTATGACTACTGACTCGATCTTGACTATGTATGCCCCGTTCTTTCGTTAGTAGTCGAGCAGAATCAACGTAGCTAGGCGGACATTGTAGGGGAACTTCAAAAGAATGGTTATTCACACCAATTATCCCCTCAGCGGGATTGGCGTAGCTGAAAAGGCAGTGATCCTGCCCACGACGGTGCAGGGATTTTTCTCGTGATGAAATCAACTGTACTTCATCATTTGAGCTGGGTTGGTTGATTGGTATGAGATTCGGTCAAGAAAAATAGAATTTGTCTCGAAATGGGGTATTCAATCTAGGTAAAAGCATTTCTACGAATTCAATCGGTTTAACGATTCCCAACAAAAGTCGCGTCCATGGCGCAATCTGAACTTTGCCTCCACTGGTAACGAACTTTTCCTTGAACTTATCTCCAATGGATATTACTTATTTTCTGCTTCGTTATATTTTCTATTTCACCCATTTATGTAAATGCTTTCAGCGAAAAATGACACGTCTTCCTGCACCCTATGGGGATTGCGTTCCAGATGGAAGAACTGCTGACTATATTTACAAGAATTACGAGTATTCGGTTGAGGTTGGCTGACAGGTCCACTTATGGGGGCCCCACAGGGTCTTACAAGCACTGCTTCAAAATTCCTACCTTGTACAGGGCTGCTATCGATCGTGCTTTCAACAACTTGTTCTCAAGGAGTGTAAATGTGGCGATCCACGGTTTCCAGTACCGGAAGGTGTGAAGCATTGCGAAGCAGCCGATCCAGTTGCCAGTGAGGAGTTCATTCGTTAATGATAATGGAAGTCGTGCTAGTCAAGATTGACGATTGACCCTCGGTTGGCTGCAGAGCTTCCTCTACGACTGCCAACCGGGGTGTGATGGCCGGGCAGTCTGTTGGCAATCTTGTTTTGAAAAGAATTCATTGAAAGGACTATTCATCCTGCATCTGAAAACTCGGCTCATCCGTGACACTTTCTAGACACAGTTCACATCAGAGCTACTTGGCTAAATACTATAGCGGATTAAACGTATGAAAACTGCGCTGGGTCTGTAGGTGGTATTCGGGTTCCCAACTCCCTATGATGAATTTGTATTAAGGACATCCCCACAGGTGTGAGATTTAGGCGACCTCATATTACGTAACGTTTTTTACATTGTTTTCAGGAAAATGTCTTGATGCGCGAATGAACGAGTTGGGAGGACTTCATGGTTCATTCAGATGCAGGTACGATTCTGTGCTCTGACTGCATGTGCGATAATTGGTTGGCTGGCTAAAAAATAAAAAAAAAGAAAATTGTCGCTAGTAAGTAGCATTTCGGAACGGTATATCGGCTCTCAATGAAGGTCGCGAATTCAAACTCCACTGAATAAAGAAAAGGAACCCATACAAATGACCATGAGTTATGAAGTAAAAAAATGCGTGGCGCATCCGAGCATTTGTTGCTATCAAATTTTAACCGTTTTCAATCAACAGGTGCCAACAACCATGTAGGCAGTCGATCTATTCGGTAACATATTCACCAGCAAAATGGCCATCGCTCTCATTACAAATCCAATTAGGCTCATGCAACGGGACGAACGCCGAATGTAACAAACACTACAAGTGAGTTTTCTGCCCAATCTCATTGATGCACATGATGGGCATTTCCCTCAAAAGTACTTATACGATTTTCAGATGATTCTGAAACAAATTTCGGTATTTTGAACTTTTTTCAGAGAAAACGGCGCTATGGTGGAAGTATTTTACGAGCAATTAAACTTCGAAATGCTCACCGAATCTGAAGCCTATGGTGTAGGTTCTTAACTGTATTGATCTAGAGGTTTTTTTTTTGAAAAAAAGCCACTCATAAGCAAAAGGGAGGAATGAATTCGTCCACCACTTTACAGTATGAGCAATGCGGGCATTGACGCGCGCGGTTGCGTGGCGACACCTGATGTCTTAATGGCTGCTTTCATAGTCCACGACCAGTCGCGCGACTGGTCGCTCGCAAAATCGTGGACTATGAAAGATGCCAATGGAAGTAAGAACCCTCATCACTAAACGATTTAATCGTTATCCTCAAACGAAATTTTTATTTATGAGCTACAAAAGGCCTCTACAATCTCGCATACGCTACACCACCGCGAGCAGTCCTATATAAAGATACATAAGGTCAAAGAAAAAGAGGAAAGATTTTGTGATTGAAAATATAGAGGAACCCAATTATGGCCGGAACGAAATACCAGCTGCCTCCACCTTTGCTAGGGAGCAGAAAATCGCTTTTTTTCTATGGCCGGAATTGAAATTGAGTCCAAGACAGATTTCAGTTCGTCAATCTTCTTGCCGATTTTGGTGGTCAGCTCGGACTATGGTGCGGAATATCATTTCTGACGTGTTGCGAATTTGTTTTCCTTTTCATCGAGACAACCTACATGAGCGCAGAACACAACTGGGCACTCTATAAAAAGAAAAAGGCAGAGAAAGAAAAACAAAAGGGACTAATTTGAAAACGATTTTCTCTGTCTATCGATGCAAATATATTTCCTGGGTCAGATCATTATCATTTTCAGATCTTCTATCCAATAAAGGCATCAAAATTGATTTGTTACTATTTATATTCGCCTTGATATTGCAAAGGTATATCGTACAGGAAATAAGTGGTCATGATGAGGTTAACCTGAAGAGCACCGAGCAGACCGGTGTTTTTCAGCCTTCTGAATAGACAGGACTGTTGTTACTATTTCCTAAGCTCTTCCGCTTCCTCTTTCTTTCCAAGGAGGAGTACTATTCAACTCACTCCTGTGTAAGGGAATGAACTGCTCGAACAAAGGACTGTTACGAAAAAATATTAGGCTGAGGTGAGTTCCAAAAAAAAAAAGAATGTGCAAACGGAATTACGTTTCCGGGTGGTTTCCAATTACGCATCAAGACGAGAGGTCTTATACTGCTATCGTAACCCTTGCCATTACTACCTTTGCTTGTTGTCTTTTTCCTATCACTCTGTAACTACCGAGAGCAACACGAGATACCCTGATTTGGATCCCTTTTCGACCTAAATAGGTTTCTGTCAGCAACCTGCTGGTACAGATCTTTTCATGTGGTTGGGTTTACTGTTCAACTGTCCAAAAAACTCAGCTAATTCTCAGCTACAGTTGAACTTCCGCTTCTTTTATATCAATAAGGGAATGAACTGCTAGGTATAGGTAAGACATTGAGTGTAAGATGAATAAAAGGCTTGAGAGCTACAATATCACCGATTCGTGGGGAGAGACCACGAAACTGGCCTGTGCTTGGAAACCAGGAGCAATTCAGAGGCGCTTCCAGATCAGCTGTTGGCTTGAAAGCTCTATATTGTGATACAGAATGGAAGTGCAACAGCAAAATGGAAAGGTCAGCAGTAGGGAAACGGGACAGAACACGGCGTTACCGAAAGACCAAAACTTGACCATCGTCAGTCGCTTCGAGAATAACTCCATGCACATTAATTCAGAATCCTAGAATTAGCTAGGCTCGCCCCCCCCCCCCGTTTTGGAGAAAATTAAGCCGGAAAATAGTTGTTTCTGGACGGCCAAGGTCACCTGTTTTCGGTTCCTCTAAGCTCAAAAATCGCTTTCAGAAAAAGAGTGTATCCACCATTTACACTGGATGGTATAAAAAAGGTGACGATTAGAAAAAGACTTGATTTATCGCGTAGGTGGGCATATCTACGTAATTATAATAATAATAATAATAATATAATTAATTAAAAAACAAATAGTGCCGAACGCCTAGACCATTCGAACATAACCTAAAATCAGCTTACCTTACGCCTTGTAAAATTACACTCCCTTACTTGGACTCTCAGTCACTGTACACAGCATCTAATACTGCATTTAACCACTTATCGTCGTGAAGCTGGGTTCATTTCCTCCACTCACAATCAGCCCTTTCCCAGCTTAGAACTACAGTTCACCTTCACCATTTTAATCCATTATATGCCGGGTGCCCATAGTTACTTCTGAAGCAAGCTTATTGACCTTTACAATCGAGCAGACTACTTACTTTTACTTGCCTGCTGTCAAGCTAGTCCTGGGACAACTTGAAATGAGTTCCAGTGAAATATGCGAAGGCAATAAATTTCTAAACTATTGCTCGGGTTTTTAGCCTTCTTTGTGTTTGATAATGATTGCCTTTGAAGTTACCAGTTCGCAATGCTGTTAGTCATATTTCGAGACAAACCGGATCGTACAGATGTGAATTAAAACTGTTCAAGTAGCATTTCATTTCTGTTCACTTTTGTATTGAATGGACCGACAACTTTTACATTAACTCTACGCAGAACAGCCTTAGACACTACACCACCTCACTCTGAACTCAAATTTTGAATGAATTTTCTTTCGTTTGATCAGAGGAGAATGTTTGCAAAACAAGGTCATGCATATATTTACTTATATTTTTATTTCATGATAGACCTTGCTTATTCACGAGAAAACAACTGAGAGACACCGTTCGAATAAATAAGACAGCGCATATTGTGTTAAGTAGAGTATAAGAGTCAAAACATTAAAAAAGAACAGAGGCCATCGGGCAGATTAAATAATAAAATCGACGCGAAGTGCGGTGTGGTGTACGCGATTGCACATCGTTATTGGTGGTTTTTTCAAACCGTAGTTGGTTCGACGCCCGCTCCAACCTCTTCAGTTGTGCTGCACACCTGTTTATGTTTACAGTACTATTTATGGCCTGTACACGTATAAGACCTCACCCAGGGGGACGCACGATTCGTGCGATTCCGGGCGCGCGCGGCAAATTGCGCGGCGAAGTTCGCGATGATTCAGACAACTCCTCGCCTATCATTGATGCACAAGGTTGAAGTAGAGTACTTCAATAGGGTCCGACAATCCTACTAACCTACTTTACCTCGAATTTGGGCCCTAATGATAAACGCCGCAGTCGTCTAAATCGCACCGAATTTCGCCGCGAAATTTGCCGCGCGCACCCAGAATCGCACAAATCGACACACACCCCCTCACCCAACTTCTTGACTTTTCCGCTCAGCTACCACATTATAGATTTGCAGCAAATGTGCTAGTCGTTGAGGAAGTGGGCAGTGACCGTCAGTACAATGCCCACGTGGGGTTTTCGAGTGTTTCGTCTCGTTTGCATTGTCAAAAGCTGAATTGTCCTGGTTGTTTTCTTTTCGGCAGCGACCAC